TTGAGACTGGAGATTGAGACAGAGATATGAGTCTAAATGAAGAAGTTATAAAAATATGGCTATTGAAATGAACATATAGTATTTTTCCAGGGTCTGGGTGTTTATATATGTATAATATGTATTTATTTACAAAAGAAAAATATGTTTAAGTATGTTTCTCAGTTATCCAGTACCCAGTTTTACTACATATATACAAGCGTTACTTAGTTTGGGACTAGAAAACGTTGTAAAAATGTGTTCTAAATATTTGTTTATACAGTTTGGGAAACGATGGCGGGGAGAATGTGCCACCGTGCTTTAGAAGTTTGTTGGCTCGTAGTCTTAAAATTAACGATGTTTTCGCCCTTCGCGTATAGAAGTTACCTCGGTAATGTGCATAGCGTTTGTGGACTAGAATACCAAGTAGTTGTATCGACTAACACACGATACTTAAGATGTGGATGAATGTGGAAATAGTTTTTGTTTCCATTGGAACTTAAGAATAAAAAGTATTTGAAAACACTTTCTTGTTAAATATCTATATTGCGAATATCGAATCAATCCATCGGCTAGTTTATATTTTGTGGACACAAACATACGGGCGGATGGCAAGGGAGCCAAGTACACCAGATTTTAAATGATAACCGCCGCCCATTGTCATTTGCAACACCCGTAGGTTTGCAGATGAGCCGTTAACTATGATAAAGTGGCCTAATATAGTAAAGTGGGCTCCAGTTACTTCACTCATTTATATTTATTTCGATCTGAGCTGAAGGCATTTATAAAGTATGGGATCCCAAGCACAGGATAAACCCCAACCATCTTCTCTATCGAAATTAGGATGTTTCTTTATTTCAATAGCCTCGCGGATCATCCTTGGAAGGAATCGGTGTTCTTTTGCAAGGATTTTCGGTTAATCCATCTAATGTCTAGAATATGATCTCATACTGCGGACTTTTCTGCCGTTGGTGCTTCAAGACAGCGATATGTTCTTTTATTCTGGTCCTAAATGATCTATTAGTTGGTCCTATCTAAGAGAGCCCACATTCGCACATTGTTTTTGATATTACACTTGACAGATGGTAAAAATTGACTTATCTTCTTAGGTGGCTTGACACACGTCTTAATTGAAACACGCTTCAAGATATAGCCAATCCTGTCAGTGACTACTCTAACATGTGGCAATACAGCAGGCAGTCCCGCATAAATTCATGCATCGTGGACCGTGAGATCAAACTACATCTAATTGCTATAGGCCTTGTAAATACTAATAATAATAATTTTAGTAGTGTAGTAATTGTGTTTTCCCTTTCTTATTTGTTTCGAAAACATCTAAATACATGGTGACAGACGCTAAAAGTTATTACAAATGTACATATTTACGACTTTTCGTTGGGAATGAGTATTAATGGGTTTTTAAATTTTTTATAATGCTAATCTCTACACGATTACAAGATTGAACATTAAAATTTGTAGAAAAAGTATGAAAACATTCTCGCCCCTGTGGGAATCGAACCCACGTCTTCGGCATTCGAAGACTGACGCTCTAGCCACTGAGCTAGACGGCTGATTGCCACACCGACGAAAATCTACATTGTTTATTATCATTTGAAGCAATGCTTGGCGCATCCATTGTTGTATCCTTTCCAGCATACTAATGGGTTTTTCGGTAGTTAAACAATAGCCGGACATATAGATGTAAACTATTAATTTTTGCACGAGCTACTCAGACAGTTACGGTGAATCCTGGACTGGCTAGCCCTTTGCTTTGAGCTGGCGACTGGCTGGTGAGCCAGTTACGTCGATCCGACTGAGCTCCACCGCAAATTGGGTCCTACCATTTCGACATCTGTGCGGCGATTTTCTTGTTTACATTAAATTAACGTCGCAATTGAAACACACATCAACTGAACTGCTATCAGCGGTCGTTCACCTCCAGTTAACGTAAACACAGAGCGACCGACGTATTTCAGGGGACGTGTGAGATATCATTTAAAATTATATACTGCTTCATTTATTTCATCCAATTAGCGATATTGCTTAAGATTCTGGCAAAGTAACCAGATTTTCGCCGATTGGGAGGCTAATTAAAAAAAACATACATGGGGACTGCCCGCAGAAGTGAAAACATAAAACAATATCAAAATTAAAATTGTAAAATATTTTATAAGCACTCCGGACGATAATAAGTGTCAAATCCATAACTACAAAAATATTTTTGCGTATCTCTTTTTTAAAAATAGCTCATGTAAAGCTCCATGATTATTTGACTGATTGTTAGAACTAATATGTACTTAATAGTTTATAGTATGCATGTTTGCGTTTAGTATATTTATATAATATGTATGTAACTTTTTTGTGCTTTTTTTTTTTTTAATTCTACTCCCAGGGTTGACTGGAAGAGAATGCTTAACAGCATTTAGTTTGCCTTTGGTTTAGCCTTATTTTGGGGTGTAAACAATAAATTTTTAAATAAATGAATAGCTCATGGAAAGCGTTCGGTGACGATGAGGCGAGTTCCATGATTTTTGTTCACCCAAAAAGTGCTCAACATTCCTAAAGAAGTTTTCACTTCGATAAGCTTTCGATTATTTTAAAGGCAATGTTGTTTTTTTTTTGTTAAATCATTCACATTCTCTTGAAACCCATCTAACTTTTCTCCTCGTGGCTTAAAGCGCCGTTCTATCTCGTTATGTACGATATAATACGTTTATTAATTTTATCGTCTCATAAACTTACCCTCGGCCGGAAACCTAAGTTTGTAATCAAGACACATGGCGGCACTCAGAGAGGCCAACTTTGCAATAGAAAGTTTTTGACGATCTATTCTTTTCACGACGTTTCTTTTTTTCTACATCCACTACACCTTTAAGTGTCCCTATCGTAACGGCGTATGCGTCATTTTATTCGTAAGCTCGATAATTTAGAAGTGAAACACTATGGTAGGGCCGTGCAACGGTCTCTATAATTTAGAGGTGAAACACTGTGGCAGGGCCACGCAACAGTCTTCGCTGTTGCACGAATGGGCAGGTCCGGCCGGGGAAGTACCGACCTCACAGAAGACCAGCGTGAAGTGGAAGTGCTATACTTCTGCGTCTGGTGAGTGAGGTAGCCGGAGTCCAATTTCCAAAAAGGTTGTCAACGCATCTGCAAACCTCCGGGTGTGGCAGATGTTCATGGGCGGCGGTGTTCACTTAACATCAGGTAAACCGTCTACTGTTTGGCAACTTTTCACATAAAAAAATGATTAACGAAAACTGAGTAAATCCTCTGTACATCTTGCCGTCGAAAAATCACAGAAGTGCGGAAATACCAGTCAACAGTATGGTTGCATTAATCATACGAGTAATTACTAACATAAATACGGCCCGAAACGGAATGCTCTGTGACTCGTTCATTCGAAATGTTCCGCGGACACAGATTTCAGTTCCAAGTGACAGGCGATGGCGGTTTTCTTTATTTCTTTATTTTTTGTTATAATGGCTAATGCGGTGGGAAATAATTTCTTTGTTGCGGTAGGTGTTATATGAGTTTACGGACAACAAATGCCCAAACTCGGAACAACTATTTACGGAGCAGAGATCAAATCCGCTACACAGTGCGTAATAGCAGTTGGATATCGCCGGAACGAGTTTTATCTGCAGTTATATTCGGACAAATTTGATTGGGCAATTTAGATAATAATGTACTACAATCGTGAAAAATTACGCGTCTTCTTGTCTTTAAATATTATAGGAAAGAATAAAGTTCGATGCAATAAAAAGTCTAATAACATTAGTAGGAATGTGGCAATGGCTAATATTCATATATTGATTTGATTAGGTTTGATGTTCATGTATTGTTGTTTGATTATCACATGATGGGAGTTAATCCAATATTTTTTTATCATTTTGCAAGAGACAAAAAGAATATGCTTTAGGTGCTGCTGTTAATGACTTTTGTTATCAAAACACTGACATTAGAATTATAATATCCATAGTCACAGCACAATATAAAATTATAAACGCTAATTGCTTTCAACTTGCACCAAACATGCCTGAATCGTTTTACAGTTTAGACTTCACTCACTAACTGGTCCAGATGTTTTATGTTTCTAGCCATCAAGCGTGTTTCCATCAACATCAAAATCCGCAATCCAATTAGCGTGGTGCTCAAGATGACCGGCTTCTGGCTAACTTGTTTAGGGTTCAAAAAGAAAATATACTATCGTAATATTATTCAAGTCATTAAATTTATTTACGTTATTATTTTGTTTCAAATCACAACCGGTTTAAATTATATACTCTAAAAGTAACAACAAAGTAAAACATCGCGAGGAAATCGGCATATTTATATTTTTATCTTATGCTTACAATCAACACATATATAGCTAAGAAGCATCGTAAGAACATATTTTGATGGGCCACGCAGTAACTCCTGCACATTTTGGACGAATGGGCAGGCTCGTCGGCAGTATGGTTTACAAGGACTCCTTTACCTAGTAGAAAAATATATATTTACATGTTACTTTTACAACTAACATAGGTAAAGTAGCATCAGTGTATATTGGAACATGGGTGAACACAGTAAGATCTGCCACCTTTAGGGCGAGACGTCAATTATTCGGATTTTCTAATCCCACAATCATTTCATTCGCCACATTCCCATACATACACGCTCGTCAGTTACCGATTCTTAGTACACGCGGCAGTAATAAAGTGATATAAGTAATATAAAAGCATGGACGGAATCGAATGTATCAAAACTTCGAAGCAATAGTTTGAGAACTTAGCAGGTTTAAACTTTAGATGAAGCGAATATTCACATTTTTGTTCATGCAAATGTGTCATTTCAGGGTTCTCTTTTAACCCACGAGCACTAGGGCAATTAATCTTTCTATTCTTTACTGTAGTGTGGGTGTCAGTTCTTGTTTAGAATTATTTTGGAAATAAAGTAATTTGTATTAGTAAACTAAGCACAAATTTCAAAAAACGATTCCAACAACACAGAGTTATACAACTAATAACTGTTTATAGGTAAACATGAGCGGCGCGGAGACCGGTCCCGAGGAGACGCCGGTGCCTTCTGCCTCGTCCGCGCCGGGAGCTCCGGAGGGCGCTGGCCCCCTGATCCCGGTGCCCGTAGCCCCCCGCAAGCCACCCAGGAGGGGGCCCAAAGTGCAGCAGGAGCGCCCCAAGCGGGCACTCTTCTGTCTCTCCCTCAACAACCCCTTGAGGAAACTGTGCATCAGCATAGTCGAGTGGAAGTATCCTTTTTTAAACAACTGTCAACTGATAATAATTTAATTTACAATAGGATTAACGAATTAACGAATTAACGAATTAACGAATTAACGAATTAACGAATTAACTACTTCACGAATTTGGTCATGATAATTGTACTTTAAAAACTCATGAAAGGCTTCTAATGACTTTCATCATTCTTGGTCATACGTGAGAAATACGTGTAGTTGTGTTTTGCATTCGCGTTAATACCACAAAACATGTCCATTACTTAATATCTGTTGATAATACTGTTTAATTTAAAGAAAATATCTAATCTTGTCAATTAACATGAAACTTGAAAATATTTAGATTGAATTTTGAAGATTGTCGGAAAAATTTGTTTTCGAAAGTTTTATTTGCTCATTTTTAAAACCGTTCATAAGCTGAAATGAAACCTATTTCACACGAGCTGGGCTCCCACGACGAACCGATGCAGTACTATGTATATGATAAGTTCTATTATTATAGTAGTATAGTATATTTTCCAATGTCAGTACTGAATATTTAAACTACGAACGTTTGAAAATAATAATAATTTATCATGATGTTCTCAGATAATAACAACGATTTTTAAGGGGGGATATTCATTTGTTTTCTCGTCTGGTTGGGTTTATAAACAAAAATAAAATTAATATTGTTAGCTTTTTGTTTCAACTGTTCTGCATAATTTTATGAATTATGACATGAGATACGCTCGATAGCTCAGTCGTCGATATAGGAGTCTCGGCAGGGTACCTAGTTGGTCGGACTATATTTAGTTATCAAGGTTCGCTAAAACGATCACTATGCAGTCACTTGATATTTAAACTGTTTGTTTACAGTATGCAATGAAATAGTGAACAATTCTACCACTGGGACCTTTAATTAAATTGATAGTACTCACATCTTCTCCAGTTAATTATAACTGGAATATTAACTAATTAACTTTGCAGATGATATTGGACAAGAATGAGGAATGTTTTTTGAATTAACGTATCAAAAGTCTAAGAAGATTTCAGCCTGCAGATGTATGCTAATTGTGTCATATCACAATATTTTGTTTTATGTAAGAACGTGGCAAGCGAGAGCTGATGTTAAGTGATAAACGCCGCCCAAGGACACCCGTAGGCTTGCAGATGCGTTGCCACGTTTGATAAAGTGAGCCCCGTCTACGTCACTCCAGAGAAGTATAACACTTCCACTTTTCTGTGACGGGTCTTCTGTGACGTCGTGGTACTTCCCCGGACGGATCTGCCCATTCGTGCAACAGCGGACTGTTGCATGAGTTCGTTTGTTAATTCAAAATAAGCGAAAATAAGAGCACATTTAAGAGGTTGAAAGAGATATGATGAACGAAATATTCCTTATGGAGAATTTTGTTAGTATGTTTTCCATGAGTCACTATATCATGACACACGAACGTGCTCTTAAAAAGATCTGTATGGAAAGTATCATCTCTCATATCATTACTCTTAATCATTCCTCGGCTTGAATCATTGCCAACAATTCGTACAGCTCACTCGAATTAAATTATACTATCAAAAAATGTTTCATGACAATACAGTCATGTTTGCCCGCCATTTTCGCCGCTTCCGCCATTGGCTCGAGCAGCATTCAAAACTTGTATTTTAATTAATGGCAAATTTCAAACTCTAATATGCATCATTTCGATCAATACTCCCATTAAGTAACCGACTGAACCTAATCCCGACTCCTCCTGCATCGGAGGCTGTGGGTTCGATCCCCACTACTGAAAAAATATTGTGTGATGAACATAGTGTTTTTCTAGCGTCTGGGTGTTTATATATGTATAATATGTATTTATTTACAAAAGAAAAGTATGTTTATCAGTTATCTAGTACCCATAGTACAAGCGTTGCTTAGTTTCGGACTAGAGAACGTTGTGTAAAAATGTGTACTAATATATTAAAAAAAAAGTTTAATTTCAATTCACCAGAGCCAAAATTATACGAACCTGCCGTATTTATAACTTATAGTTTACATAATAATGCACTCATTTTGTCACGTCCTTATAAGATTTAACTTTCAATTTACTTCAAAAATCTGGCGTCACAAAGTGGTCGCAGCTTATTTATTGCTTATACTCATTATTTGTAACAATCCATACGAAATATATTAACGTTGAGTTTCTTTCCTTTTCGACTTATTATGTACTTGTGACATAATTTGCTGTTAAACATTTTCCGTCGAACTGTCACAATGACATTTTGCCGACGTTATTCCGCTGCAACACCTTGGATTTATCCAACAGCGTTGGGCGTCAGCCAGAATGACCGCCTTGCACGATGCCACGAATCGCTGTGGCAGCGTTCTCAGATCGATAACCCGATCTATTTTTAATGGCGAACACATTGGAATATTTATAGCGCTGTACCGACCGACGTGAAGTCATAATTGCCGGCTTACCGAAAACTTACGGTGGAAAATTTGACGTGTGGATACAAATGGACGCGGCGATTAATACGACTTCAACCAAAGGGATGTTTATTGGCTTTGAGCATTAACTATTAATTATTTGATGACTCCGTGACGCAGTCGCCAAGGTATCGGCTTCGGCGTTGGGGGTCGTGGGTTCGATTCCCACACGGGACAACTATTTGTGTGACCCACAGATAGTTGTTCCGCATCTGGGTGTTTGTCCGCGTGAAATTTATGTTTGTAAAAACGTCCTAACAACACAAGATAATGTTATCCCAAAGTAAGGGCAATGATTTGTAAAAAAAATGGGTGTTCGTTTCCCAAGAAGGGTTAAGGTCGGGCAGGCGACCAGAATTGAAACATAGCGAAAACCGTTTATACCATGATTCATATGTTGTGCCGACCCCACAAAGGTGGGATAAGGGCACGTGAATGATAATGATGACCATAAACAATGCGATGGTCTAAAGTTACAGTCTACGCTTAAATCATTGGACCTCTAAAGACAAATAACGCCATACGATCGGAGAAACGGATAAATTATAAGAAAAGCCGAGGTTTACAAGTAATATGTTTCGGTCAAAATTCCGATACTACGGAACCCGAAGGCCGTGTTAACTAACACACTTAACTGTCTATCGTATAACAGCCACGTGATTTTAATCACGTTAGCGAAGTACCGGTTGTTATATTAATATTCGTTAAACAAACCAGGCGTATACAAATCTGACATTATAAAGAAATTGGTTGATTTCTTAACTGTTACTGTATTCCTTGTAACTTTATTAATAAATACGAAACTAAAACACTATAGGTCAATGTGGTATAAAAATGTTATTAATTTCTAAGAAAGGATATCTATCGCTAGACTTTTGGAAACGGTAAAAGGCTTATAGAATCAACTTTCTAGACAATTTTCTTAGCTTGTATCTTTTTTTATGAAATGATAAGCAGTTGTTTATCTTGGATTGCGAAGATTCATCAGAAAACCTGAACAATGAATGGAATTTCCCATTTAAGTATAATGAGTAGCCAGTAAAATATTTCAAGTCGGTTGTGTTTTATAATAGAAATACACGTTATCCCAGAGTAATGAGTCTATTTTGTTAGAATACGAGTCGGAAAAATGTTATGAATCTGAAATATTTGACAGTTGGCAAGCCACCGCTAAATTTGTCAGAATTTCGTCTTTCCACATATTGTGGAACAATAAATATAAAAGAATAAATGTTGACGTTCGCGTAATACAATTAAAATAAATTTTAAACGATTGAGAAAAATCACTAATGAATTAATCAACAAACAAAATCACCGGTCACTTATAGTCTTTGAAAAAAATTTAAATAGAGTAACTTTCACTATAGTAAACCGCCATTTTATTGTTGTCGAAAATGTTAATTCTCCTATTTCTGGGTGGTTATAAAAATAAATAACCACGTCTTAACCTTCTCACCTTTTCTATACGGGTCGGATTGCTGTATGTGGGTTCTATGACTAATTAAATTTAAAAGAAACCGAACTATCGATACGAGTATGACGTCGCTCGCTTCCTGTTATTTATCATGTTGGCAGAACTGCGTATTGAAGTTTTTAAGTCAAATTAATAAAATGGCGGACTTTCTTAGCGTGAAAATAACAAGTTTTAAATATTTTTTTCTCGAAAACTCTATCTGCTTGTGGATTAATTCATTCCACAGGATATGATGTATTTCTGTTGCCGTTATAACGAAAAATACTAAAAAATATAATAAAAAAAAATATTTAAGTAGGGCTCCCATACAACAGATATGATTATTTTTGTACGGAATTTTTTGCCGTTTTTATAATTGTACGGAACCCGTGGCGCGCGAGTCCGACTCGCACTTGGCCAGTTTTTCATTTATGCGAAACCAGGCACTATAGAAAGCAAGGTGCTTATATACGAAAATCTTCTATATTCGTCAATCAACCATCCGTCAGCCGCACATGCTCCGTGTCACTACCAAAGCGGCGAACGTCAGCGATCTGAAATATGATGATGACGTTTCCAGTAATTACTTATAAAGTGTATAATAATATTACTTCGGTAAAACGTGTTCTATTTCAACATTTTAATGCGCATGACAAATAAGTGAATCTTCGTAAGATTACAATGCTAGTTTCAATCGACTTTTTACTCACCGTTTAAAATCTACAACCTTATCACCGTTTACTGGGGTAATAGGGAAGCACTGACTGGACGTTGATCAAAATACCGAATGTTCTCAGAGCCCTACAGAAGGCACTGAATTTGACTAAATTAACTTTGCGAAAAACGAATATGACAATCTCGTAAGCCTTTTAAGCGAGTTGACGATGTAAGACTCGCATATTGTGGTCCAGTTTTAACCATGTTTATGGCTTCTAAACACGATTGTCAAACATACAATGTCACAAAAATTGAACTGTGACGTTTGGCTTATAAAAGCCGGAATTAATCGGTCTATTCGTCAAATTTCTTGATTCAGATCCAATTCGCAATCGTTCTTTTCAGACAACGATAGTTTAATGATCATAATTAAGACTCAAATACATATATTATGTTAAAGTAAAAGTAAAGTAACAGCCTATACATGTCCCACTGCTGGGCAAAGGCCTCCTTGTACAGAGGGTATCAGGGCCTAGTCCACCACGCGGCCCCACTGCGGATTGGTGGACTTCACATATCTTCGAAATATATTTTTTTTGTTATTATTTCGAAAATATGCAAGTTTCCTCATGATGTTTTCCTTCACCGCGGAGCACGTGAAAAATCAGCACTTAAAGTTAAAAACTTCATTGGTGCCGGCACCGGGGATCGAACTCAGGTTGCTCGAGTAAGTATATTGAATTAAAGGCGAGCGCCCGGACACTGAGCTATCACGGCTTTAAATACCTACTTTAAATAAATACTTTCAGATCTAAGAACAGCTATAGACTAATCTACGTTAATGAATAAGTAGGCTGATATCGATGATTTAAATGATGAAATTATGAAGCATGCAGTTAGCATCAATGAATTTCATCCTCTTCCTACTCTTTCACCGCTCATCTGAATATTGATCACATGCCACGAACTTCCCGCGCCGCGAGATTACAAACAGCCACTATTTTCCGGCGGAAACTGTACTCAGCAGAGGAAACATTCGCGGGACAAGTGTTCAACAAAAGCGTCGAAGAAATTTCCTCCTCACAATGAAACAAAATGGTCAAATAGCGTTCACACGTCGCTCGCAACTTTATCCTTATTCCCATCTTGTTGACGGTCTAAAGCAAGGCAAAATAAAGTTCCGCTTTATGTATCTTGAAACTTGGAGCTTTAAGTATGTATAATTTTGAGGAAACGTTCTGCAAGGCATTAAAGGTTTTTTAAGAAGTCATTAGTGAGTGTGAAGTGTTAGTGTTACAATTGTGAAATAAACAATACACATACAAATGGTAAGGTAAATCCGTTAGATGTATTTCACTTTGACTTATTTAGCAACGTTCGGAAATTCCCCATACAACAATAATAAGACGACTAATACGGCGTCGAAGCTACCAAATAAAAGTGAAATGTTCCAAGAATAGAGAAGGTTTGTTTTTTAAGTCAGCATAACGTCTGTTTCAATCCAGCCTCTGTCACGTTCGGGCGCTACAAAGGGCGCGAACTTCCTGGCGTCGGACATCCAAATATTTCTGTATCCCATTCATGCGATCGCCGGCTCGCTTGGCTAGAAGCCAGGTTTTTATTCCACCACATTGTTTATTCGCCTCCGGGGGCCGTTGCGCCCGCTTACGATTATGGAATGCCGTTTGTATTATTAGTGCTCTTTTTTCGGGGAACAGATAGGGAAAGGGTTGGTGCAAATGTTTGCGAATTGGCCAATCGCAAATGTTTGGATTGGCAACGATGAAAGTCAGTTCTATAGGAGAAATTGCCAACGAGGATACGTTTTTTTATGTTAGAAAGTGACAAACGAGCTCGCGGTTTACCTGATATTAAGTGATAACCGCCTGCCCATGGACATTTACAACACCCGTAGGGTTGCAGATCCGTTGCCACCTCTTAATAAAGTGGGCCCCGGCTACCTCACTTCCGAAGTATAACACTTCCACTTCACTCCGGTCCTCTGTGAGGTCGTGGTACTTAGCCGAACGCATCTGCCCATTCTTGCAACAGCCAAAGCTGTCCCTATGTGGCCCTATCACAGTCAGGCGATGTTACTTGATACATAAAATAAACAGCTTTAAGCGCGTTACTGCGCAATGCCAATACAGTGAGGAACTCCAAAAGTGGGCTTCGCATATCTGCACTATCATAGTCATTACGGCGGTGAGTATTAGTCCTGAATGTTTATCTCTATGTCTGTTTGTATATATGATATCTTTGACTATAATATGTATATCAATTATAAAAATTGAAAGATGAACCGTAGCGTCTTGTCGGTTCTTCGATTGGCGGCTCCAAATTAGTAAAATAGTAATAGTTTTTATTATGTTCAACAAGCTTTACGCGACAGTAATATTTTATTAATTATTAAATAATGAAACTTTGACTTGCATGCTCTCAGCATTTCAGCAGTAATTTGCACTTAATAATTGAATAAAAGAACCAAATGCATACAACAATATAATTCGCGTCAGTAAGATCTATAATCGGCCTTTAATAAGGATTTAGAATGAACTCCGAGGATATATACTGAGCTACTGCAAACAGCTCAAGGATATAGCAAAAGCCTGGAAAAAATTGAGTCGAATAAATATCACATTCGTTGTCTGTTTGCATGTCCTTAAGTTCCTAGAGTCATATAATAATATTTATATTTAAATATAAAATAGCTTAAGTCAAACAAACATTATATAACTCTTGATAAGTGAAAACTTTTCAGAATCAATTCAGCAACTGTAAAGATTACCCATCTCATACAAACAGAGAAAGAAACTTAACATCTGCATTATATCTAACTGTCTAACTGCGTATTTTCTTAAGTCACTACACCGAAATATAATAAATCGTGTTTCATCTGTTATATCAATTTTATCCAAGACTACAGATGTCTAGCAACGTTAAGACTAACAGCATGAAATATCAGACCTCGTATAGAATCACTGCAATTTCGCAGCCTCGGATCCAACTAACACGGCCGCGCCGACTGATTTCATTGCACGATAACCCTAAATCTACAGTAACATTGTAAATATCGTACCACTTTGTTTATTTCTATCATTAATGAATATTCAGGACATATTCTAACACAACGTCATCTAGTCCCAAACTAAGCAAAGCTCGTACTTCGAGTAATAGGTAACGGACAAACGTAACCATATATAAGCAGACACACAACAGTGACCTCTGAGAACTACAATTATTACTAAATCAATATTGCCTTATAAAATATTTACTTTAGTATCGAACCAACAGAATTACTCCTCAATCTCGACAGAATATCCTATTAGCTATCTGAAATAGAATATATATCAGGGCTTCCTCATAGGGTATTTTCATCGAATCGTCATTTTTTCATCGAATAAGCTCACAGTTATGAATTGTATCGAGACAGATCGAAATTTTCTACAAATTTTATAAATGTTTCCCTCACTACGTGCTCGAAATAAATAAATCCTAAAAATGAAACGCAGACCCGCGTTAAGATGTATCGTAACAATAAAGACACTAAAATTGTTAAACAACTCAATCGTCTTGTTTAAAGACAAACTGTTTGAAGTCGTTGCCAAATACTAGAAGAGTGATGAGTACGAGTCTCGCATACTTCACATTCTTACTCGTAATACGAGGGTAAATTTACGAGTGGACTCGCAGGTAACAGCTAGTTAAATAATAAGTTTCAATTTGCACTCGGCTGACGCCAAGATAAACAGCTGCGGGGGCGTAAAACGTACGTCCATACCAAATATTGAATGAATACGGCAAATTGTGCAGTAACATATTGCTTCTGTACGTAAGTGTACACAAACGGTTCCAATAAACGTCCATATAGAGCAAAAGATATATGGTCGATGATATAAAATATTTATCGATATGCATACTTGTACATAGATATGATCTAAGTTTCTCGTAGATTGCTCTATAGACTAAAGTAGCAGACCAATCATATTGCATTATCGGGTTATCCATATCGAAGCTGGAGCGTATACCTAGCCACTTGCCATCAAATACGAAAATTAAAATAGATGATTAACATCAAAAATAACAAAGCGAACAACAAATAATAAATTCGCTCAAGAGAAAAGTGAAACATTTATTCGTATTAGGTCTTGGATTAGATTCCAGCTCTAGTTTTTGCTGTGATCTACTTTTAACCCCCTGTTGTTTGCCTTTATATAATTGTGGTTAAGTCTTTGATATGTTTCTCGTTATATGTTGTACTTATTCTCCTTTTTATAACATACTGTCTACTCGACCGCTGTACCTACTGGTGGAGTGGCAAGCAAGTGTGCAGCAATAAATAATAAACGCACTAACTCAGTACAAATCCATTCAGTCTTGCATTGAATACGTTATATTCGAACGGTACGTCGCATTCTTCAATTCCTTAACTGTAGGCATAATAAAGAAAAAAGAGAACAGAACAGATGAAAAAGAAAGGGGGAATCGTTTCATTAAAATGCAAAACCTTGACGTTGTCTACGTCGGCTACTTGGGCCAAATCCAATTGTCTTTATTAGAACAGCAATGTTTCCTTGACGCAATCACCAGACCGTTCGAATGGATGATCCTGACCACGATTTTCGCCAACTGCATCGCGCTGGCGGTCTACACGCCTTATCCCAGTGGCGACTCGAACTACACAAATTCAGTTCTAGTAAGTGACGATTCCTTTACATTATTCCGATTTCTTAAAAAAGTAAAGTAAAGTAACAGCCTATACATGTCCCACTGCAGGGCAAAGGCCTCCTCTATATAGAGGGTATCAGGGCATAGTCCACCACGCGGCCCCACTGCGGATTGGTGGACTTCACATATTTTAGAAATATATATTTTTTTGTTATTATTTCGAAAATATGCAGGTTTCCTCACGATGTTTTCCTTCACCGCGGAGCACGTGATAAGTCAGCACTTAAAGTTAAAAACGAGCTATCACGGCTCTAATTCTTTTCATCATTTCCGATTTCTTAACTTGTTGAAAATTCCTTAACATTAACATATGACAAGTTATTATTATTATTTACGTATATATTCGGTAGCAGAGCCATGAAACAGTCTCCGCTGTCGCACAAATGGTCAGGTCCGTCCGGATAATTACCACGACCTCACAGAAGAAGGACGTGAAGTAGAAAAAGTTATCAATCTTGACACTTTTATAAAAGAAAATAATCTAAAATCCTAAAAAACCCTTAAGTCTTAAAAACCCTTAAACCGTTTTGTCTTATAATAGAAGGAGTTAAACTAGCGGTCAACTCCTAGACTCATCACCGACCACAACAAACAACGCAAATTTATAAATATTTTTATATTTTTGTAACTCCTTACTCATTCAAGCCTGAACATTTATGCAACAGAACAGAACTTGCTGTTCGGCTCTAACACAGTAAAAATATATATTAATATTACAGCAGAGATAGTAGTCAAGTACCTAGTTCTTGGGAAGAGAATCATATGATGATTGGCACAGGACAATCCAAAAAAATTTAACTTTATATCTATCATAATTTGTTTATTTTCTACTTCAGCTACTTTTTTGCTTTTCTGTTGAATCTAAACAATAACTATTTGACTTTTCCAGGAAAAGATTGAGTACATCTTCCTGGTGATATTCACGGGCGAGTGCGTGATGAAAATCATCGCTTACGGCTTCGTAATGCACCCTGGCTCCTACCTTCGGAACGGGTGGAACCTGCTCGACTTCACCATAGTCGTAATAGGGTATACCATTAGAATTTATTAATACGAAACTAACACCTCCACAACCTTCCTTGGTGTAGTCTTGATTCTTGTTGATTGTGATCAGTGTATTCGGAAAAATAGAGGAATTGCCGATAATGCATGATAGTAGATTGGGTATTATTTAATATCATCAACTGTCGAGATTATATAAATTCCACGAGCAACACCTATGTGCTCGTATGACCTAGCATCCATTGAGATTAATAATCTAAACTTGGGAAAAAATAAGTAAAAAGAAGGAAAAAAGAGTGCTTTGTGAAATGATTACTATAGCGCCTGCAGATGAATTTTACCATAGTACTGTGGCATAAGATAAAATATCATTGAGTTGTTTCAATGGTCGTGAATTGTAGGGCCCATAGAAATTTTGGTGTCTGCTAAGTAAAATCTAGGATCTAGAAGTTTTTTTTTTAATCGAGATTTTAAAACAAACGACCAATGTTTTGCTACTAATCTAAATTTCACCTGAACATTCACAGAATGGTCAGCACAGTGCTGTCAAGTATATTCAAGGACGCGTTCGACGTCAAGGCGCTACGGGCATTCAGAGTTCTGCGACCACTGCGTCTCGTGTCTGGTGTGCCCAGTAAGTATCGTGGAATATTTCTATGACAACGGATATTCAGATCGTTAACTGCACTGGCAGGCGAGGTGGCGGTTCCCCTGATGTTAAGTGATAACCGCCGCCCATGGACATTTGCAACACCCGTAGGGGTGCTAACGCCTTGCTACCTTTTAATAAAGTGGGCCCCGGTTACCTCACTCACAATACCAAACGCAAAATTTTAACACTTCCACTTCACGCCGTTCTTCTGTGAGGTCGTGGTCCTTCCTCGGACGAATCTGCCCATTCATGCAACAGCGAACTGTTGCGTGGCAGCAACTGCACTTGATAGGCGCTGGCGGTGTCTTCAAACGGCCACTACTTCCATCATCATCGTCATTTCAGCCAATTCCACTGCTAAATATAGGCCCAGACTGCCATTAAGTATGATCCATCGACTCGCACAGGTTGTCACTCCAACTAGTGGATCATCCCATGTCCTTCTCATTTATTCCAACAAAATTATTAATGAACTAGCGGTGCCCGCGACTTCTTCCGCGTGGGATTTAAAATAAAAAAATTGTAAAATAGCAATAGTCTAAGTAACTCCTTATTATATCAGCTATCTGTCAGTGTAAGTCCCGTACAAATCGGTCCAGCCGTTTCAGAGATTTGCCGGAACAAACGGACAGACGGACAGACAAAAATTGTAAAAAAAATATGTTGGTACATGTACCGTGTATACATCCATATGCATTTAGTAAAAGCGGTTATTTTAATATTACAAACAGACACTCCAATTTTATTTATCTGTAGTATAAGATGTGATTGGGGGGTGTAGGGCTACCCTCCAATCTTTTTTGGTATTACTCTAGCCGCTAGAAACCAAGAAAGGTTTGGATAATATGTGGCTGCAGAGTGCTAAAAAAACTAGAAGGTTATACATTTTATTTATGTATCTTGAAGTCTTACAGTGGCGGTACCTGGTTCTGAATCAAATTAGATCAATAAGAGGATCCCAAACCGCCATTTAAATTTTAAATAAACCACGATAAAATCCGTAAATTAGTATCATTGAAATGTGTAATATTCGTGTAAATACGATAAACCGGCCGAATAAAGAAGTTTATTCGGACGGTTAAAACCTATCCCGGAAATTTATTCGGATGGACAACAACACAATAGATATTTATGATAGAGAATAGCTATTTAAAATCTTATACTATAAAAGTTTAAAATGGTGATTAAAAATAAATACAGCTGAAATGGGAACACCCTCCTTTCTTGAAGTCGGTTAAAAAGATTCAAAGAGCCTAATACATATTATGTACATCCAACAAACTGACAATGTAGGATAACGATTATTATGACATTCTTTCTAGTTGAAATAAATAAAAACGGGTCATCCCATTCTCTCTTCGGTAATCGAACGAAAATATCATACTGTTTACTATAACATAAAATCTGCTTACGTCCACATTTTTTGGTAGAAACATTATTGCCTTAACATTTCGTAATATATTTTTATTATGTTACATCAATGATATTACAAATAGATATATAGATTGATAATTAAAGTAGATGACGAAGTAGATGACTCTAGCGAACCGAAACTGAGGCGCTCAAATTACGCCAATTGGTGTAATTATATTGCAATTATCATAAGTTCTATATCTGTCAAATTCACTTATATATGTCATAACAGTGTAAAGCGGAACAGTTTTTAACCGTCGCGCAGTATGAACATGCACCATTTTAATTAAAACATTAGTGTGTTACGTGCTCGTACTACGTTGCTTGTTGTTAGTATTTTCGTTTGAAACTATTAATAACATTAAGTTGAACATTATTAATTTCGCAGTGATTCATTCGACGTAATGTTTTCCAGGTTTGCAGATAGTGTTAAACTCCATCCTCAAGGCCATGGTGCCACTGCTTCACATCGCGTTGCTGGTCATCTTCGTGATCATCATCTACGCCATCATTGGCCTCGAACTGTTCTCCGGCAAGATGCACAAGTCCTGTTATAGCAGAGTAACGAGTAAGCTCTAGATAATGTCACAATATAAATAACTAGCGACCCGCCCCGGCTCCGCACGGGTGCAATCTATTATACATATAAACCTTACTCTTGAATCACTCTATCTAGTAAAAAAAACCGCATCGAGATCCGTTGCGTAGTTTTAAAAATCTAAGCATACATAGGGACTGGCAGACAGCAGAACGACTTTGTTTTATACTATGTAGTGATAAAACACCTGTTAGGTGAAAATGTGAAATCTGCAACATTTAGTAATATTCTTTTCTCTTGACAATATATAACGTTAGACATCACAAATAGTCAATTTTTTTTAATTAAATAGAAGTATTTAGGAACATTACTAGCAGAATCAGCTAATTTCTACTCATAAAAATAACAACTTAACTAATCTTTGATATGCTTTATTCTGTTGTTTTTACAAAATATTTCTTCAATAACGCACATATTTCTTTTAGTTACAAATAAATAAAGTAAAGTAAAGTAACAGACTATGTGTATCCCACAGCTGGGCCTCGTCCACTGTGCGACTCCACTGGACTTCACACATCTATGAAATATTATTTTGTTGAAATTTTCAAAATATGCTGAGAGCGTGATAAGTCAGCACTTAAAATAAACAATTTTATCAGTGCCGGCACCGCGAATTGAACTCAGCTTGCTCGAGTATGTTGAATTAAAAGCAAGCGCCCGGACAAGCTATCAGGGATTATAAAACATTTTATTAATTTATCAGTCACTCAGTAACTGCTTACGAGTAAATGTTGTGATGTTAGCATCACAGTATGACTACTAATTCTAGTATTGAGTACATCGATCCCCATTCAGACGAGATAATGGAATCGCCCCATCCGTGCGACGACAACAATGGCTTCAACTGCTCCACCATGGGCGAGGAGATGGAGTGCAGGGATGGCTGGATAGGCCCCAACTTCGGCATCACCAATTTCGACAACTTCGGCCTGTCCATGCTCACCGTGTTCCAATGCATAACGCTCGAAGGTTGGACGGACGTTATGTATAATGTAAGTGCTTTTCGTCGGTGTCCTTTTTTTATGAGAGAACATGGTGGCACCCCGCCAATTGACTTTTGCAACACCTGTAGGGTTGTAGATGCGTTGCCACCTTTTAATAATGTTGGCCCCGGCTACGCCACCAACAAGAGGAAACGCGGAAGTATAACATAAGTATTTACACTTCACACCGGTTTTCTGTGAATTAGTGGTACTTATCCGGATGGACCTGCCCGTTCGTGCAACACCAAAGACCCTACCACAGTAGACAGTAATTTATTACAAGACAGCAAAACAATAGTGCATAATCACACAGCTTGTATTATTAAAATCTTAACAAAAAATATAAACTTATATATGCCTTCATCCGATGTTCATAAGTGATTCATGTACACCTCCCTCTGCTCTCTTCTTTATTTCTCAATAGCAAATATTCTTTTCACAATATGTGTCTGGAAGAAATCGCTTTCTGAGCGATAAGACCGCCTATTGTACTTCCTTTTATACTCATTTGTAATTTGCTTTTTATATATTTTTATTTTTGGTGTACGATTGTCACGTTTTAAGGTAATTAAAGAATAATCACGTAAACATTACTAGGGTTTTAATTTTACAATCAGGGTCATAGGTTCATAAATCCGATCCGGTCAACCGTTCGCACAAATACCGCACTATCCTCGCTTTGTTTGTTTCGCTAGCGTGCAACACGTCCCAGGTCTTGTTGCAGGATAATTTGTAGGAAGATGCGAAGAACAGCAGTCCAGCTCTGCAACAGCTAACTCTCACTGTTGCCCCCAAGTACTCAAGTTTAGCCCGTACCAAGTTCCTGCAATGCCGGTTAAACGACTAATATTACATTCTAGTAATTATTGGTTTTAATTAAACATTACTACACGCTAATCTTCGCGAAAAGAGGCAATTGTTGGCAGTGTTTTAATTTCTGAGCGGTTGCGGTGCAAATAAGAAATATGAAGGTACACTCACTCAGATACGGAAGTAAAGCTATATAATTAGCTAGTGGCAATAACAAGAATATAATAATTACACAGCAAAATACAATCTAAAGTAATATATAAAATACAATTATATACTGATCAACAAAATAACTAAACAATACCTAATTAATATTGTATGCCCAACTTACCCAGTACGGGAACAAAATAAAGCACAGTTACAGTTATAGGCGTAATTATAAAATTGTTTGCAAGGAAATATGCAACTGCCCGCATCGAGGCTTACGGTCGTCTGCCTGCCGCGAGTTTTGAGTGTGAGGTCAAAGACTATACATACGCGTGCGACAGGAATAAACATTAATGGCGTTTGTATGAGGGAGAAAGTGAATTAGATGCCGTTAATTAGACAACCGAATAGTTCATATATAAAAGATGACGCTCGTCTGGTTGTATATATTTTTTTTTTTTTGTAATTGAAAACTAGAAATTTAGTTATGATGACATAGTCGTTACACTATAAAGTATAAATAAATAAATAAATATTTTTTTATTAAAGTAGCATAGCTAGACCGGAGAAGTCACTAAGACGTATTCGTAGAATATATAAGATACAAAACACTACTGCGACCACTTAATCAATTTTTTTATATTTCAGATACAAGACGCGATGGGGAACAGTTGGGAGTGGATATACTTCATATCGATGGTGATATTGGGTGCGTTTTTCGTCATGAACCTGATTCTCGGTGTGTTGTCTGGGTAAGTAATACAACTTAATTCATTGAAAGAAATTGTTAATCTATCATTAAAAACCTATATACTATCTTTGTCAAACGTGAATGCATAGTACACCATATGCGTGCCGAAAATGCAAATGGTAATATTAAAGTGAAACATATAACGATTAATTATCAAGAAATAAAGGGAGAAAAGTAAAACTAGAATTTGTTAGCTGAACGTACTGTAACACTGCTACGCCCCCAGGTCCGAGTAGCAGTTTACTCCAGATTGGAATTATTTTGATAACAGAAAAAATGTGTTCTCAGAGAGTTCTCCAAGGAAAGAGAAAAGGCGAAGAACCGGGGCGACTTCCAGAAGCTACGAGAGAAACAGCAGCTGGAAGAAGATCTCAAGGGTTATCTGGACTGGATCACCCAAGCCGAGTATCTCGAACCACTTGCCGATCAGAACGACACAACTGACCAAAAAAGAGACTATGGGCTCGGTACGTTAATTCAGCAACCTATAAAATAAGTAAAGATTATCCCCAAATCAATTGTATACGACCATAGCCTAACGTGTGATCTTATTTCTGAGTATAACAATGTGTCCTCGAAATATTTCCCCTTTCTAGGTGCGGATCCCGTCCCAAAGATTCCCTTCCCATTCATCGTGAGCTAAATAAACACCTTAAATATTTAAATAAATTATGTTTCCACCTTCAAAAACGATAAAAGAAAGCGGATACTAGATTTTTGTTTACCCCGTTTGAGGATTAAAGACTTATAACCATGTAGATTATCCTTGATTCGTCGATATCAATAGATGGAACCATTATTTAATACCGAAAAAACAAATATGAAGCAGGTCAGAGCACAAATGAAAATGACTCCACGGACAACTTAGGAATAGAGGTGACTGAACTGAAGAAGAAGATGTCTATCGGAGAATGCTGGCAGAAGGATTTCGAAAAAGTAAGTTTACCTATTTTAAAACAACAATTACTTCAAAACTCATCAAAAGGGAGTCTAAATATTAAAATTTATATAAATTGTTACTGCTACTGCGGGACAGGCTCGTCCGAAGAATAAACTTATAGTTCTGCGTTTCGGTTGGTAACTGAAATAACCGAGGCACACTTTAGTAAAAGGTGGCAACACATTTACAATTCTTCAGGCATTGCAGATGTCCATGGACGGTGGTTAAAACCGTCTGTTCGTGTGCCCACTTTTCACATAAAAACAATCAATATATCCCAGGTTCTGTTTATATTGCTTTAACCATTACTGTAAATGAGCTCTTCATTAGCCTCGGTAGCTTGCCAAATATCTTTAAGTTCCAACTGTTTTTATAATCACTTGGGGCATTTCGGCATATTAATTGTCCTATACATATATACGTATATAGTACTTGAAAACTTTTTTAATATTGCGTTTCTTGATATCATATTGTTTGTTGATTCCGAGACACATGACTTCACCTAGGTGGGATAAAGGCAAGAGGATAATGTTGATAATGAAGGAAAAGGTAAACAGTGATAAATGATAGATAATGTGGATGTACACTATAAATTTACTTGGAGGAATCCCCTTTACTCTGGCGGTAATGTGGATGTATAGTATAGCATATGCACAAGTTTGGAAGGAGGCTCTTCTCTCTTGGTTTGAAGACACTAAAGTTTATCTATTCCGATTACAGGTGAACCGACGCATGAAACGCGCCTGCCGCCGCGCTGTCAAATCGCAGACCTTCTACTGGCTCATCATCGTGCTGGTCTTCCTTAACACCGTGGTTCTGGCTAGCGAACATTACCAGTGAGTGATGATTTACTTCTGTCAGATAATTTGTTGTATATACCCGATTACTATTACGAAATGAAACTGTATTTACGAGTTCTTCACGTTTCCCGACGTTTTGAACCCTTTTTGGCGTTCAAAAGATTGATCGTTTTTTTTTTATGCTCCCGTCGGTTCCTTTAAGCGTTCATAGTCATGAGACAGAGGCGTTTGTCGTCCGAATGTCATAGTGAGCCCGGGCTACCGTCAGGTTTTAAATTATTAGTTTTGTGTCCGATTCCGTTCTACGCCGATCGGACACAAATAAACTAAACGTGATAAATCCGTAAATACACTAATTTAAATTTATATATTTCGAATGTCTGTACTTAAGATGTAACATTAAATTTTGTATAAAGACTTGACTTTCGATAGAACTAATGTATTCAAAATTAACACATGTTTATTTTCAGACAGCCAGAGTGGTTGGATTTATTTCAAGAGTATGGCAACGCATTTTTCGTGGCTCTATTCACCCTCGAAATGTTGGTTAAAATGTACAGCTTAGGTCTGCAGGTGAGCCGTATTTCAGATACACATTTTAACACGATGCCTCACTTTATTTTCAATCAAAACTTACATCGAGTTTCAATTAACCTCATGTCAATAAAGTCTTTTAAAAGCTTATATTTTATAACACATCTACGTTAATACCACTATAAGACCACTACCAATTACTTAATAAAAGCAATCATATTCCTCGTTAACATACGATGGTGTTTTAGACTATAGGGTAAATATTCAACATCACTTAAATGTTTAAAATATTAATAATAATGTTCATTAATACGGGCCAAATTGATAACCAAAATTATTAACTCCTCTGCTAAAAACAAAACTTACTTAGGTTGCAATATCTTCTGATGTTTCAATGTTCCTGTTTCAGGGTTACTTCGTATCGCTGTTTAATCGGTTCGACTGCTTCGTGGTGATTGGCTCCATTAGCGAGATGGTGCTGACGAAGACGGAGGTGATGCCACCGCTGGGTATCTCGGTGCTGCGCTGCGTCAGGCTGTTGAGGGTTTTCAAGGTCACCAAGTAAGTTTAAGTTTTTTTTCCATGTGAGAAGTTGGTAAGTGTGCTCGACACGGTTCACCAGAAGTTAAGTGGTCACCGACCATGGACTTCGAGACCTCCGTTGGAGTGGCGTTACTAACTTCCCGTTTCTCGATGGCCTTCTTTTAGGCCGTGGTATTTTCCAGGACAAGACTGCCCATTCATGCAACAGCAGAAGGGGCTGCGTCTTAAACACAATTGGAAAGTATAGCGAACTCTCTGAAGAAGCGAACTGTTGCTCCTTCATTAACCTAATTGATATATTAAACACGATTATTTGTATGTTTATGTGTTTGGATCGCCTTCACGGTGCAAAATCTAAAGGATTTAACTGTCGAACCCCTTTACGATAACTTATTTTCACTGGCTACTAAGATTATACTTAATACATTCATTTTATCATCCGTAACCAGGTTACAAGCAAGTGTAGAGCTAGAGTTCATTTATACATCAGAAGTTTCTTAAAACTATGTGTGTTTACATTTGTGAATGTCTCAAATAATTTCTTATTACAACGTCTTATGGGGTTAGAGCTAGTTACAACGCGTTCATATTGATCATAAGCCTACTGTAGAATAACATCCCACAATGCGTAGGCAATTTAGATACACAAATTCCTCACAAGGATTAACTGGATTCATAATAATCTTTTTCCCACTCGCATGGACTCTTGTAACGAATAGGAATCGAACCCACGCGTCGCCCTCTACATTTTGACTCGTTCTCCAGATATAGTTACATGGGTTCTTGTTAATAATGGGAATCGACCCCACACAGGACTCTACATTTTGACTACTCTCCAGATACTGGCGTTCGCTATCCAACCTGGTGGCGTCGTTGCTCAACTCGATACAGTCGATCGCGTCCCTCCTGCTGCTGCTGTTCCTCTTCATCATGATCTTCGCGCTCCTCGGGATGCAGGTGTTCGGCGGGAAGTTCAACTACGACCCGGTCGAGGAAAAGGACCGGCACAACTTCGATTGTTTCTGGCAAGCGCTCCTGACCGTGTTCCAGGTGCGTTAGTTAGTCGTGAGGAGCTAAACAAAAGCTCTCACATCGATACAGATGTAATAACAAAAAGAAATATTTCGAAGATGTGTGTAGTCCGCCAATCCGCAGTGGGGCTGCGTGGTGGACTATGCCCTGATACCCTCTGTACAAAGGAGGCCTTTGTCCGGCTTGGGATTTATATAGTCTGTTACTTACATCAATCCAAATATGACACTTGAGATTACTCACTCCTAGATTATTCAAAAAGCTTTGATATTGACTTCGTTTTATTCTTTTTTTCGGTTTCCTGTTATGAAATACAGGATATTTATCAATATTATTACTGCCAAGTTCGTGTAGTTCCCAGCGTGACAAGAGCTATTAGACAAATTCATTCCTGAAAGAAATTTGAAAAACATCAAACTTAATATTTATTAACGTAGACTAGACTGGGCAGCATGAAATCAGACCAAATAAGGTCACTTCAAATCTTAAGTTCGAGAACCCGGGCACTAGATTGTGACAGAAAAATAGTTTAAGGATTTTTTGTGAACTTTTTACACAACTATACGATCATTTCGAAATATTTTTGTGTGTTGAATAGAAGGTGAACCAATTATTTTCTGATGACTAGAGATCATATACGTTTTCAGATATTAACGGGTGAAGACTGGAACGCTGTCATGTATGAGGGGATCAAAGCGTACGGTGGAGTCGGTTCAGTAGGAATATTGGCATGCATTTATTTCATCATACTCTTCATCTGTGGTAACTGTATCCTTTTACAATAGCGATTCTATCTCAATATATTGATATGAAATATATTGAAACTCAATTTATAATAATAATGGCAATGTTGCGACTTGTAGAAGACCAACAACGACACATTGTGAAGGTAGTCATCATGATCATTTCATCCTGTTCGAGTCCATTGTTGAACATCTGCATCCATCGACTTCCCACACATTTGCATAGGTCGTTATATCTTCTAGTGGGGGTCGTCCCACACTATTATAGCCAATACAAAGCAGCCACTCGAAAACCTTTCTTCCCCATCGATTATCGGTTCTTATTGACGTTCAGCTTACTAATCTACCGCGGATGTCTTCATTGCAACCTGTGTCATGCAGTGAAATAGCATATCCCGCTCCATAGCTCTATTATATAAACTTGTCATAGAAAAATATCATAAAAATTACATAATCTTATAATTAATACTTTTATAGTTATTTAGCGATAAAAAGTGGAATATATTCCTTAACAATCCAATGTTCAGACATCTTGCTGAACGTCTTCTTGGCCATTGCTGTAGATAATTTAGCCGATGCAGAGTCTTTGACGAACATTGAAAAAGAGGAAGGCGTAAGTACTAACTCTTGATTTATCAAAGTTATTGCTAACTTAAGTATTCTATTCAGCATATAGTCTTAAATATATGTGAGCATAGTGCGAAATAAAGAGATTATTTTAAACTTATTTTTATTTTTTGTAATTTTCTTATACCTTTGTAATAACAACAGTATAGCAAAATTAGGCACTAGTCACGGGTAAATGAAATTAGACAATATAGAGGATCTGCTAACCTTATCAGTATGAATGTAAAATTTCCATATTTTTCAAAGCTTGATTAAATATTTCAGCAAGCAGCTGAAGAAAAGGACAGCGGTAGTGTGATAGTGGAAGGTGGTGCCGCTGATACAGATGATGAATATATCCACGATGATGACGCATATACAACTGATAAGTATGCATATTAAGCACTATGTAATAATTAGTATTCACTGTGCACTTTTGCCCAACTGATTGACCTCCTAGATGATGTGATAGAATGTGATAAGGGAGGAAACGCTAGGGCAAGTAAAATTGCACCTATTGCTTGCAAATACCTAGTAATAGCAATTTATTATTATAAGGATCTAAAGAGAAAAATAAAGTGTAAAAATGTTTTAGCTCCGATCGCGATTATGAAGAAACAGGGTCAGAAGGTGAGCAACAAGATGAAATTGATGTTGAAGAGGATGAAGAAGTGGGAGAAGAAATTGGAGAAGAAAGATTAGAAGAAGAACAAGAAAGAGAAGATCACGAAATGATGGAAAGCCATCAAAGGAACCATATAGGTATGTATCTATTATTAAATATAATTATTACTAGGATATAAAGATGTCAATAAATTTTTACTTATTTTTTATACTAAATAGATCTGAAAAAATTTTTTTTCGGACTTTAGTTGAAATAATTGATGGGTTTTACATTTTGTTTAATACAAAATGTTACCTAAGAAATTAATAGATATAACGAACGTTCGAAATACCGGATATTTTACAAATATTAAGGTATACCAATCCTTACGGTTTCAATTACCGGTACCATCTATTTAGTCTGCAATATTATTTAAGCAAATTAAACTTTGATAACATGAAAACATAAAATTGAGTACACTTCCAATAAAATTAAAATATGATTAGGCTAACCTCATTGGTGGTCTTCATGTTAATAAATATGTTAAATAAGTATACTAAAAAGTAACGAAGTGTGTCAATCCCCTTGGACTAGTTAGAGGTGCTATAAATTATTACAACATGGCGCACCGAAATAAATCCGTTTATACCCTGCCCAATAACGGTAAAATAATTGGCAAAACAGCGAATCATATCTCTATTACACTGTTAGTACTGCTGATATGTACAAGTTGCTGCCGCATGGAACGGCATGTTCTCTGAGCGATAATTCTCCTGAAACAAAGAGGGATAGGAAGTGAGCCGGTAACAAACGTGCCACCGCGTCAGGAGTTCCAACTTGACGCTAACCGACACCGCAGTGAACACAGAGTACGATGGGGAGCCGCGGCTGAAACGTAAGCCGACCACGTCGTCTGCACGACCGCGACGTCTGTCAGAGGTCGATATACGCGACTCAAAGAAACCCATACCGGACGCTACGTCATTCTTCGTATTTTCCAAGACCAACAGGTTAGGGCGGCGGCGATGGTTCAGAGCGCGGCTTTCGTTTAGTTAGATTACACTGATCCATTAAAGATATTAATATTTACTTTGCCTTTGACGACTCATTTTTGCTTCTTTAAACATTTTTCGAGTTTCGTTTGCCCTTTTTGTTAAATGGTCAAATTACATTTTTAAATCTAAAACCATTTCAACAATTTCATTAACGTCCTAAGGTGAGTATAGACTACAACATTTACTTGTAACAGAACAACGAGCCGCTCTATGATATGTTCTAGTGTATCATCCTTTCACGCACTAAACGTCGAGCACGCTCGCCTCTTTGTTACAAACCATATTGCATATTGGTGTAACATTTCGTTGAGCCACGAGTGCGGGCGATGCGCGGATGCGATTTCTATTTTTCTTTTTTCTTCTAATATAATTCATCAAGATAAACGCAGCACACGCAACTTGTAGATTTCAAAAAAGAATGAACGCAAGGTACAACGAAATGTTGGTAAATGCACACTCGCTGCGAGCATTTACCCGTAACATAACGCCGAGCACTCGCAGGAACGTTACATTACATGGAAATGCTTTGGAAACTGAGCTTTTGCGTGTATTGTGCCATTCGTAAGAACGTTACATTACACAGAAATGCTCCAGAAAATGTTGTAGTCTATACTCACCTTTATTGATTTACAATACCTCTTTGAATTTCTATCGTTTTTATTACCTTCCTTTCTTTTACTGCCACGTCGTCAAAGACAAATAATTTTTCAATTTTTTAAGCATTTTGAATTTTTTTTTGTTCTAATTTAATATATTTCAGCTTTTTTATATTTTCTCTTCTATTCTTCTTATATGTTTAACTATTTTATTGTTCTCACACAACTGAGCTTCTTTTCACTGTTTTTATGTTTACAAACGTACTTTCGTTATTAATACTTTAGATCGGACTATATCACCAATTGAAGTTACGATGTTAAGGATCCTCTAAGATAATTTTAAATTTCCAGGACGTATTTAAGGTAGGTTAACTGTAAATGGTATTGAACTAGAGCTATTGCCATCTTTTTCTATCTCACGAAGATGGCGACCAGTGCGAAGAGGAGGGGACGCTAGTAACCGCTAGACCCCGGAGGGTTTCAGAACTGAATATGCCAAATCAGACGCCGCCAATACCCAACGCTAGTAGTTTCTTCGTATTCTCACCGACAAACAGGTGATTGGTGGCTTAGTTGGTACCCACGTCTCATGAATCGCCTTGTGAATTGGTCTGTTTGTCTCTTCATACATCTTCTCGATATAACAGTCTTCTTGTATGCTACGCGTGTCAATGTCAAGATCAACCCCTCCCCATCCGTAATTTCCAATGCACGTTTCTTTATTTCAACCCGAAATCTAAAATCTACGGCGGTGAGATTAAAGGGTACCTTTTCAATTTACAGTGTTAGCGGTTAGGTTTGTTTTAGATACTAGGATTTTGTTTTAGCATGTTCCCATAGGCAGTTAGTTAGAGTCATTAGATGTAAATATTATTTTAGATTCTCTAACAGTCCAATCAAAAATTAGACTTTTGTTTTCCTTCCGTTTAGATGTGTAACAATTGCATGCGCTTCTAGCTGTGCCGAGACCAATAACAATGTTTTATGAACATATTTTTCTGCCTTTTGTGTGTAATAATGTTGTTGCTTTATATTTCACTTTTAAAATACTAAGCGTAATTATAAAACTCGATTCTGAAATATCGGTTTTAACTAATATCAGCTCAGGTATTATAGAAAATTATATCAATATTAAAGGTGACATGGATGAAACTTATGTTTACTATTGGGTACATACCCAACAATAAACATAAGTTTTAATTTCTATTGAAATTGTACTATGGTATAAAATATCGTATTTATTCACTTAAACTGTTACACGTTAATACCCCTTTGCAAAACTGAACATATAATTAATTATGTGATGACAGGTTCAGAGTGCTTTGCTACAAGCTTTCCGCGTCATCGACCTTTGGGAATATTATCCTCGTCTGTATCCTGTTCTCGTCCGCCATGTTGGCTGCTGAAGATCCGTTGGATGCAGCACAAAGGGGTTTCAGGAATTGGGTTAGTCCCTGTATAAATATTGCAATTACACTAAGTATTGTTATATTCCAGTTATAATCATAACCTTTTAATAAAGAGGTCCATACCGCGCGGCGCTTACGAGTATACAGACAGATGATATAGAACGTATGATACGGAAAGAGATAGCAGTCTATAGAATTGCAATCTATTTACACCAATGAACGTAATTTGAGTGCCTCAGTTTCCTCATCACTCTTCTAGTCACATGCCTTTCATACCGTGCTCGTACCGTGTCAACCAACCACTCCTTTTTTTAAATGAGAGGGTGGCAAGCGAGCTGGCGGTGACATTTGCAACTCCCGTAGGGTTGTTGATACGTTGCCACCATTTAATAAAATGGGCTCCGGCTACCTCACTCGCCAGACGAAACGCAAAGTATTACACTTCTACTTCACGCTTTCTGTGAGGTGGTGGTACTTCCCCAGACGGACCTGCTTAATCTCAACAGCGAAGTCTTACGTGGATCTACCGCAGTTACTAGCTTTCCCTAACACACTCATTCACTTAACTTCACAATTAACTTATTGTTAATTCGCAACTGACGTGAACTCTGCAGCTGTTGAGCCAGTTCGACATGTTCTTCACGGGGATCTTCACGCTGGAGCTGTTCCTGAAGCTGGTCACCTACGGCCTGGTGCTGCACCCGGGCGCATTCCTGCGCTCCGCCTTCAACGTCCTCGACATGCTGGTCGTTTGTGTCTCGCTCATCTCCATGAGCTTTAAGTAAGTATTTATATAAGAAAGGAAGAAAGCAAAAATTTTTATTCGGTACATGAATACAATACAAAACGAAAAGAAAACAATCCTAAATATATAATACCATGCACCAAAAAGGTTTTCGAATAACATCACCAAATAAAACGTGTTATATTATATTATACAAAACATTGACGACGTTTAACATTTAGAATTGTTAAAGTGCGTTGTAGCAAGTTACTTGTCATAATTCAAGACGATGATGCATTCATAAATACACTGACATTCTTACACAAATAACGGGACGCTCAAAGTACTGTGATAATTCCTAAAATATATAAAATTAATTCGTGAAGCTTTTCACGGTGGTAGGGCCACGCAGCAGCCTCGGCCGTTGCACGAATGGGCAGGCTCGTCCGGGTAAGTACCACGACCTCGCAGAAGACTGGCGTAAAATGGAAGTATGATAAATACTTTAGCGTTTCGTCTGGTGAGTGAGGTAGCCGGAGCCCAATTTCCAAAAAGGTTGTCAACGCATCTGCAAACCCTCGGGTGTAGCAGATGTCTATGGGTGGCGGTATTCACTTAAAATCAGGTGAACCGTCTGCTCGTTTGGCAACTTTTCACATTAAAAAAATAGCTGTAGTCATTGGCGTATATAGAATTATTTTGCAGGGTGGGCCTGGGCCTCTACTACAAAACTAAATCGAACAAAAGAAAAAATTTGCCGTTCGTTATCGTTAATATTTTTATTAATTTATAATAGTAGTATTAACTAATTAGTAGTTAGTACGTTGCGTATTCAGAAGTTACGGAATGTATTGTAAAATAATATGTAATAAAACTAAGTATATACATAGATTTCTCGACTGTAGATAGTTATTTCATTTTAATGATTTTTAAGAACTTTTTTGGCTATCCAGAATCCAAGAATTTCGAATCAGTAACTCAAAATCCTGGGGTGGGCACTAGATGATACTGGGGTGGGCACGGCCCACCCGGCCCCCCTGCTATATACGCCTATGGCTGTCATCATCATCATCATTTCAGCCTGTTTGAGTCCACTGCTGAACATAGGCCTCCCCCACAGACTGCCACGAAGTACGATCCTGAGCCACCTGCATCCATCGACTTCCCGCACATTTGCACAGGTCGTCACTCCATCTAGTGGGGGGTCGTCCTACACTGCGATGGCCAGTACGAGGCTGCCACTCGAGAACCCTTCTTCCCCAACGGTTATCGGTTCTACGAGCTACATGGCCGGCCCATCGCCACTTCAGCTTGCTAATCCTCTGAGCTATGTCGGTTACCTTGGTTCTACTGCGGATGTCTTCGTTACGAACTCTATCACGCAGAGAAATACCGAGCATAGCCCGCTCCATAGCTCGCTGAGCGACTTTGAGCTTCCTCATACGGCCAGCAGTGGGACCACGTCTCGGTTCCGTAGGTCATCACTGGCAACACACATTGATTGAAGACTTTAGTCTTCAAACATTGAGGTATATTCGACGAGAAAATTTGCCGAAGTTTCCCGAACGCTGCCCATCCGAGTTGGATTCGCCGATTGACCTCTGCGTCGAAGTTGGACTTACCTAGCCGGACTAACTGGCCTAGGTAAACGTACTCGTCAACAACTTCGAGCTCAGTGCTCCCAACGACAACCGGTATAGGCGTGACATGGACATTAGACATGATCTTCGTCTTGTCCATGTTCATCTTAAGGCCACCCGTTGGGAGACACTGTTGAGGTCATTGAGCATAGTACCCAGGTCCTCCAGCGATTCTGCCATGATGACTATATCGTCGGCAAATCGAAGGTGGGTGATGTATTCGCCATTGATGTTAATACCTCGTCCTTTCCAGTCCAGAAGCTTGAAAACATCTTCCAACGCAGCGGTGAAGAGTTTCGGGGATATGACATCACCCTGTCTTACACCCTTCTGCAGATGGATAGGTTTTGTACTACTGGACTGTACTTGGACGGACATCGTAGCCTTGTTATACAAACACCTCAGCACTTCGATATACCGATAGTCAATTTGGCACCGCTGAAGAGCCTGGAGTACCGCCCAAATTTCGACAGAATCGAAGGCTTTCTCATAGTCCACATACGCTAGGCACAAAGGCAGATTATACTCTTCCGTCTTCTGTATAACCTGCCGCAAGGTGTGTATGTGGTCTATGGTACTGAAGCCTTTTCGGAATCCGGCTTGTTCGGGAGTCGTCGAGTCTGGAAGCGAGACGATTCAAGATAACTCTTGAGAACAGCACATAGACGCGGCTCCGAAGGGATATCGGTCTATAGTTCTTCAAGAGAGCGTTATCGCCTTTCTTGAAGAACAGCACCACCCTGAAGGACGAAATTAAAGAGCCTCTGAAGGACTACAAGTACCGGTTCTCCACCCGCTTTCAGAAGCTCTGCTGTAATTCCGTCCTCTCCCGATGCTTTGCCATTCTTAAGATGGTCGAGAGCCATTCTAATCTCGCTCAGACTGACGTCCGGGATATTCTCGGAATAGTGTCGGATAAGCTTTGCTCTTGGGTCGTAACTCACACATGTGTGTGGCTCCAACGACGATGTGTACAGCTGTCCATAGAACCTCTCAATCTCACTCAAAACCTCTGGTCTACTGGAGATGACAGCCCCGCTGTCAGTCTTCAACTTGGTCAGTTGGCTTTGTCCGATAGACAGATCTCTGGCGAAGACTTTTGAGCCTAGGTTCCGCTCTATAGCTCCCTCAATACGAGCTCGACGCATGCATTTGGAGATCTGCCTATTAAGCCGCCTGTAGTCTGACATGTCAGCTAAAGACTGCAGTCGCATCTCACGTCTTTTTCCCAAGAGGTTAAGAGTGTGATCGGAGAGTTTTTGCGTTCTATTTGTGCGGCGGGCCTTATAAAATTTAAGGCCCACGGCATGGACAGTTTCCACGAGCTTAGCGTTAATATCGTCCACAGTGCTGCAATTTTCTAGGCATTGGAAGCGATTATGTAGCTCGAGCCGAAAGCTTTCGGAGTTCTGGATATGGAAGTCCAAGGTGTACGGCCCCCTATGGCTGTAGTACATAAAAAATAAATTATAAAAGCTTTAGTGATTATTTTATACAAAGATGACTTACTTATACATAAAACAAGATAAATACACGTATGGCACATATTATTAAATAAAAAAAATATACACAAACTTATTATTTTAATTGCTTTATAACATCAAAAAATAAACAGCGCAGTTTAAAAAAATCAGTTTTTGGTTGTTAAAATAGAAAGAAAAAAAGAAATGTTAATTTGGTACAAAAAGCTCTAAAATAACAAAACAGTAATGAAAAATTTGCAATTAATGCACTCAGCATTACTATTATACATATATATAATATTATAGCCTTACAAAACTGACTTTTTCCGCCTTATATCAAAGTAATAATCTGTGTATATTCTTCAGGTGATATAGATATGATGCTGTATTGATTAGTGTTTGCAAACCAAATAAATTGTTTATAACCGAGCTACGGTTGAAGACAAAAGCGAAAAAAATCTTATTTTTATAATTTTTCTATTTTTTTTTAATTTGTTTTTTAAGCTATTGTACATATAAATCCTGATTTGCGATTTGTAATAAGCACTGCTTATCTACTTATAACATACTTTTTATACGAGCAATCTATTTAAACTACTTTGGCAGACTTTTCTATGACGCGATTTTATGTGATACGTTAGTTTTGCCACCGACGCCTTGTGTACATCAACTCTCTCGTCTTTTACACATCACTATATATATATATATTAGTCATGGTTTTCATATTATTGGATACCGCAGACCTTTAATAGGAATAATTTAATATAGGTACATAAAATAATTTCAAATATTAATTTTTTTTTTCATCAGTAACATTATTATATGGTGTTGTGATGTCTTTATTTCAGGTCTGGTAGTATATCTGTAGTGAAAATTTTGCGAGTGTTCAGGGTGTTGAGGCCACTTAGGGCCATCAACAGGGCCAAGGGCCTTAAGGTCAGTATCAATTTCATCGTAATACAACATAAAATACTTTACTATTAAATAAAAATCTACAAACGCAATGTTAATTGACCAACCGTTAACACTGACACGAACAAAAATGAGTAAATTGATTTTTGTACACTCCACAAAGACGTTCTAGAAACTTCCTTATTCAGATATAAATGAGTTCATAAACATGTTTTCCCTGATTATAGCACGTTGTTCAATGCGTGATCGTTGCCATCAAAACGATCGGCAACATTTTATTGGTAACGTCCTTACTACAGTTCATGTTTGCCGTCATGGGAGTACAAATGTTCAAGGTAGGGGGCACTTTGAATATTAAGTTACAAGAGCAATACAACACTATGCGATCTGTCCCTCGATACATACTATCACGTGTGCCAACATCATTTGGATTGAGTACACAGATAATTTGAGTTCACATAAAATCCCTAATGTCTGAGAATTTCTCTATTACACCTTTGGGTATTACATCTTCTTTATTTTTATCTTCTTTTACACTTCAATTCTTCTTATTGTATTTCTTATCTGTTACTCTGCTCCTACCTCATGGCTTTTTGTTACTAATTTTTACTTTTTCTATTGGAATCCCTTTGGAATCTTAACTCTGATGCTCACAACATTGCAATGCCTCATGTAGTACTAATGTTGCATATTACTGCCAAGCTCATTGCTTATATATTTTCTTAGCTTCCTCTTATTTCAAAATTTAAATTCATCAATTGATAAAACATAACTATAGAGAAAAGTATTCGTCATTAATTAAACGATAAGAATTTAGCATGTCGTAAATTGTCAATAGAGATTTATTAACCCCTAAGCGTTTAGTTTGATCCGTGATAATTTTTTTGATGTTGTCTACCCTAGAGGAGCATGCTTATTGAACGACCCAAAGGTGTAGCGATCACGTAAGCTCATTAGACGACTAATAAACCCTGTGTATTTAGAATATTTAACCATCCCCCCTACCTTGGCGTACACTTCAAACTCCGACCCCTATACGAATCTAACTCGTCTCCAGATCAGCGTATATAACTGATATATAACAGACCGGAAGCCCCCTACTGCCCTGTGTATTAAAATTGTTTGCTTGTCCCCTATGTTTTGGCGCTGCGCGGTTACCGGACAAATGTGGCCTGTCCTTACATTTGGTAACGTATGAGCGGCCGCAACTAACACGCATGTCTATCTCCTCGATATAACCGTAGTACGTGGTCAAATGTGTGATAGTAGCCATTAAGACAATAGGAAATATAATGCTAGTTACGTATTTGTTACAATTCATGTTCGCTGTCGTCGGTGTACAGTTATTTAAGGTGAGGCTTTTGACACATTAGATTCGGTGCGAGATCTTCTAAAATTCCTGCGGAACGTAAACCGTGCATTTGGTGATTAGCGATTGAACAGCTTTCTAATCTTTATAACTTAGAAATTGAGCCCTCGTTATTTTTAGCGATTTTAAAAATCTGGCCAATTTTTCCGAACTAATAGATATTTTTAGCGATTTTAAAAATATAGCCAAATTTTCCGAAGTAATAGATCATTTAATCATTCAGAAAGATGTATAGATGATAAAAGTATGAACTTATAAGTTCATTATAAGGAAATATAAATCTTAGAAGATCTCAAACTGCATGACAAAACGTTGTTAGCAATAACATGATAATGGTAGAGATTTTGCATGCAGACTATATGAGTCTTAGTGGATACGAGCTGTAATTAAATTGTTAGTACAATCGCTTATGTTGTTTAATGTACAGTATTGATGTATTTGACGTGCTTAGAGTTATCATGCCACGTGATTTCGCAGTCTTGTATTAATCATTCATTGGGTTATGTAGATGGTGCTAATGTTGACGCATGAAATTACTCCGTTCAATCATCACAAATCTAACCTCAGAGGATTTGTTTCAGGGGAAATTTTTTAGATGTAATGACATTTCTAAAATGACTAAGGAGGAATGTCAGTAAGTATTGCCAGTTCATACTCAATTATTTTACATATTTTTCTTAGTATTTTCATTATTATGATTTAATAAGTCTTTACTATGAGATGGAATAGACAAGCGGTAATGGTTTAGAAGAATTAGATAGCAATCGCTTGACTCGGTGGCGCAGTTGCGTTGGCTTTGGCGTCGGGGGTCGTGGGTTCGATTCCCACACGGGAAAAGTATTTTTGTGACCTACAGATAATTGTTCCGGATCTGGGTGTTTGTTTACCAAGGAGTGTTGACGTCGGGCAGGCGGCCGATCGTAAAAAACAAAGCCAAAATACCGCTTACAACATGATTCTCATGTTGTGCCGACCCCACCTAGGTAGGAAAAGGGGGATGATGATGATGAGATAGCAATCACTTTTTTTTTAAATAAGAGTTTAAACGAATTAAATTCCTGAAAGATATAATACGAAGTATTTCATTGCAGGGGGACATATTTAGTGTTTGAGAATAGGAACTATGTCGTAAGAGATAGAGAGTGGAGAAGAAATGATTTTCATTTCGACAATGTTATGAAGGGGATGCTTACGTTGTTTACGGTTTCGACCTTCGAAGGCTGGCCAGGGTGAGTGCTGTTCCCTTTTGATGGTCTTATCGTTGGAAATATAATGTCTACTTCAATTTGCTAAATTCAACACGGATTATTAAAGACAACTATCGAAGATTAGATTTAGAACAACTATTGATGTTTCAAAGATTGTGCTGCATAAAATTTACTCTTACAGCACAATCATTGTCACATTTGTTACTTTAATATCAACAGATCGTAAAGCGAGTAGCACTAATTATTTTAGATTTTTTCCGCCGATTTTTAAAATAACGCAAAAAATCTTTAGCGTCAATAAAAAAAAACCGAAGAACAGTAAAATTTAAGTCAAATCTGTGCGACAAGAGTCAAATTTGTAGAACAATAGACGAAAAGATTTCGTCTATTGTTGTACAAAATGTTTCATCTTATGTGCAGAGACTAGTACTATAAAAATTTATTACAAAAATTAAACTACGTATCCTACATAAAAGTTGATTATGCCTTTCAGGTTATTATACGTGTCTATAGATTCGAACGCAGAGGATCGTGGCCCCATAACAAACTTCCGTCCAATTGTAGCAGCTTACTATATTATTTATATTATTATAATTGCCTTCTTCATGGTGAGTACTGGTATATATGAGTATTAGTGATCGGGAATAGGTTAAAATTTGATGACTCCGTGGCGCAGTTGCCAAGGTATTGGCTTCGGCGTCGGGGGTCGTGGGTTCGATTCCCACACGGGACAACTATTTGTGTGACCAACAGATAGTTGTTTCGCATCTGGGTGTTTGTCCACGTGAAATTTATGTTTGTAAAACGTCCTTTACAACACAGGATAATATTATCCTAAAGTAAGGGCAGTGTTTTTTTAAAAAAAAGAACTAAAAGAACTAAAAATAACTTTAGTTATTAACGTACTTTACATGTACAACGCGTCTTAATTAAATCTCAACATTCGTGTGCCGGTACACCATCCACATCTGGTATTATGCTAAAACCAGCCACGAATGTTCAGGTAATGGAGTTTATGTAATTAAAATTCCTTTAATTCATAAAAATTTGCGCGTGACCATGACGGTGTTCACTGTTTCACAATAATGTCTTATATTCACGCTATTCCAATACATTGGCAGCAAGCGTTGCAACCGGAAGGATACTTTAACACGTAAGATATCGTTATCTGTAACGGTCACATGATGAATATTTTATCAGTGGCAAAGTCACGTATCAGCTTCCGCTGTTGCACGAATGGGCAGGCTCATCCGACGAAGTACTCATTCACAGAATACCGGCGTGAAGTGGAAATATTATGCTTTCTCATTAAAAAAAATTGCATAATTATATTCTTTATACAAATAAATAGAGTATTAGCCTGTACATGTCCCACTGCTGGACAAGGGCCTCCTCTGCCACAGACCACCACGCGAACCCACTACGGATTGTCACACTTCATTTATCTTCGGAATATTTTTGTTATTAAGTCGACAATGTGCAGGTTTCCTCACGATGTTTTCCTTCAACGCAGAGCACTTGATAAGTTAGCACTTAAAATTAATATTTTTTTATGTGAAAAGTTACCAAGCGAGTAGGCGGTTCACCTGATGTTAAGTGAATACCGCCGCCCGTGGACAACGTTGCGTTGAGAACCTTTTGATTGGGCTCCGCCTACCTCACTCACCAGACGAAACGCGAAACAATTATACTTTCACTTCAGGCCGGTCTTCTGTGAGGTTGTGGTTCCCAGACGCGTCTGCATTCGTGCAACAGCCGCAGCTGCTGCGTAGCCCTACCACCAGAGCTGCTGCGTGGCCCTACCAACTCTCTTTGAACTCAGATTGCTCGAGTATAATAAATTAAAAGCGAGAGGCCGGACACTGAGCTATCACGACTTGGTCACATAAAGCGTTTTAAAATATAAGTATCTGTTTTAGGTAAATATATTCGTCGGTTTCGTCATAGTGACATTCCAAAACGAGGGTGAGCAGGAGTATAAAAACTGCGAGCTTGACAAGAATCAAAGGAATTGCATAGAGTTCGCTTTAAAGGCCAAACCGATTAGAAGGTACGAAAGGGGCGTTTAATAACAATGCTTGATAACATTCCCCCTCAGTATTCCAGTTAGATAAAAGTTTATATATGTATACAGCGTGTCGTTACAACCGCCACAATAAATGAACACATATAGCGAATAACTTTTTATAATTGTATTAAACATTTACATTCTTTAAACATCAATATTTACGGAGTCATTAAACTTCCAAAACAAACAATTTTATAATATCCTTAAGTATAAAACTGTAACGTAAAGTTCATTTGTAAAGGTCACAAAGCATATGAATGGGTTGAATGAATTTAAAAGAGATAAAACATACTGTTAGAAGGAGAGATTTTTAATGCGACGCTGTGACGCGAGTTGTATAGGATGCTACACATTTTGTTTCTTTTTATTTAATTAGTTTGTTTGAAAAATACTTTTTTTAACTATGGATTCTTTTAAAGTTTATATTTTTCTATGATTATTGGCAAGTTAAACGTGTGTTCATTTATTGTCGCGGTTGTAACGACACGCTGCATATATCTAATAGCTCAGTACTAATCCTTCTGCTTGCTATTTACATGCCTCTACTTACTTTTACGTTACTTCTCTCCCATCATCAGGTACATCCCCAAGCACCGCATCCAGTACAAGGTGTGGTGGTTCGTCACCTCGCAGCCGTTCGAGTACGCGATCTTCGTGCTTATCATGATCAACACCATCACACTCGCGATGAAGTACCACAACCAGTCGGCGGAGTACAGCAAGGCGCTGGACTTGCTCAACATGCTGTTCACTGCGGTCTTCGCACTCGAGTTCATATTTAAGCTGGCTGCTTTCAGGTTTAAGGTAGGTCCCATTATTATAATCTGCCAGCTAATATAGTTCCCGTAACCGATGTCTATGAGATAGATGCGATGCCTTCTTTATCTATAGGTACCCGTTTTCTCGTATTCTATGTTGATATTGTGTTTTACAATTATTATCAAAGTATCACTTGATTAACAAAGATATAGCCAATTTTACGGCCACAGGTAAATTTGATCACTACTCGATGTTAGGCTCAACCTGTCAATACGTCTTCTTCTATGATAACTCCCCATGAAATGTCTTGAATTTGACCGAACGGCAAAAAAATTTACATGCAAATATGAAACAAAAACGCACCTTTGTATTTGGAGCAACATAATTCTACACTTACCGACACCTATTGAGATTACAGTGTTGTTTCTCATGCAAGTTCAATGAGAAACAACCCTGGTCCCTGGATCAAAGCTAGCGAAACCCTTTTCATTTATAGGATTAACGTCGATCTTTATCTATCTAGAACTACTTCGGCGACGCGTGGAACACGTTCGACTTCATCATCGTGCTGGGCAGCATCATCGACATCGTCGTCTCCCAAGTAAACGAGCTCAAGAACCAGGTAACCGCACTGATGCTTTAAAGACAACAAAATTACTCGTCCGTAGACAACCACTATCACCCCCGGCGCCGCTTTGTTTCGAAATACACCGTGTACTTTCTATTCAGACACTGTCTACGATTAAAATAGACTAGCTTTTTGTATAAGACCATTCGCACAGTATCTTAGACGGTTCACTCCTGTTTTGAATGTTGAGAAATTCAACAACGTACAAACGTAAAAAATAAGATAGCTTTTAAATATCTCCAGCAATAACCAGATGTTTCGAAACATTAGCGGTGAAGTTACTGTCCCGAGCATGGACGATATTGATGTTGTAATAACAGGAAACGCTAGTGCACTCACAAAATGTATCCGTTTAACAGATTGATGCAAGCGATGTTTATTTCAGGGAAATGGAATGCCAAGGGCCCACGTCGTGAAGGTAAGCGCACGCTTTTAAGCAAATGTATTTTTTGAAAACATTTAGATTTTAGCTAAAGAGATCCGCACCTAAATATGGGATCATAATTCACATAGAACTAAATTATATGTTTAACTATCGTGCGACGGTAAGCGTTAACGGAAGCTTTTGTTGTTGTAGAGCGGTAAAATTCTTCGATATCAAAGCTTTACGTGTACGAGCAACGAAATGGGACAGTAACAAAGGCAATGATGCTGAATACACGTTACAATCGATATGAAATACACCTCACGTTATCAATAGCGTTAACAATATTGCACAAGACTTTGAATGTAACAATATCTTAGCGAACTACGCGAAGTATCATAATTTTAAAGCGGGTAGTCCACAATAGCTTAGCGCTGAGTGCTTATACGTCATATATAATTTTCTTATAATTCCCTAAAACATTTTCATGTGCATTTATTACAAAAAAATATGTGAAGATCTTATTTTTATACATTTAAGTTTGCAATAAAATTGAATCTGAAATCGTTATTTATCCGTTCATTTCAAAATGTTGTTCAGTTGAAATAGATAAAAAAGTCTTCTGCCTTTAATGACGAACAGTTTCGTATTCTGCGTTCTTATTAGCCATGATCACAAGATTTATCCATACAAAGTGGAACCCTGATAATATAAAACAAACACAATAAAAAGTATACCGTTAATTCAACTGAAGAAAGTTTGTCTTCCGAGATATTGAAAGTTGAATAATTTCACAAATACACACACTAAAGCTGAAGAAAAATAAAAAAGAATTCATCCTGATGAAACTGTTTACCTTGACCATTCTCAGCCGACCCTATAATTATTAACTTCCTACATGCGTTGTACGCCGTCGTAGCAGCTCAGTCGACCTGGGTGATCGACGGACTGACTGGATCTGGTAGGAGGTGAGACCTACTGATAGGGTCTGGTGGAATACTATGCTATAGGAGGCCGTTGAGCACATGTAATGTAATTACTGTTACTTAGGCGAGGCGATGATCATTCCAGGAAAGCTCGATCCCATCGATCAATTTCTTCCGATTGTTTCGAGTGATGAGACTGGTCAAACTGCTGTCGAGAGGCGAAGGCATCCGCACCCTATTGTGGACTTTCATCAAGTCCTTTCAAGCACTGCCCTACGTCGCACTGCTCATTTTAATGCTGTTCTTCATCTATGCCGTCGTTGGTATGCAGGTGTGGTAGCGATGTGTTATTTAAACGATAGAACTTTATATGCAAGCCATTGCCATGTATCTGTATGATCGACTTGATGTAACTACACGCTGTATATGGGTATACAGCGTGTCGTTACAACCGCGACAATAAATGAACACACACATAGAGGATAACTTTTTTAAAATTGTATTAAGCATTTACATTCTATAAACCTTTTTAGTATAAAACTGTAACGTAAAGTTCATTTGTAAATGTCACAAAGCTGAATGAATGGGTTGAATGAATTTAAAGAGATAAAACATACTGTTAGAAGGAGAGACTTGTAATGCGACGTTGTGGCAACGAATGAAAAAGAGTCTGAATGTATGAATCAGTCAGTTGTATTTGTATAGGTGTTACGTTATTTTTTTCTTTTTTAATTAATTAGTTTGTTTGAAAGATATATTTTTTTAATTATAGATTTTTTAAAGTTTTATATTTTTTATGATTATTGGCGTTAGACGTGTGTTCATTTATTGTCGCGGTTGTAACAACACGCTGTAAATAAGAAATTAATCTCAATTTTATGATTCAGATTAAGAGAAGTCGTTTAGTTCCTTTGAACTTATTTTGTTCTCCTTAAGTTCAAGCAAGTTAATCTGATTTAAATTGATTACTCACTACTAATGGCCACGGCAAACTGTGGTAGGGCCACCGAATGCTGTTCACTGTTGCACGAATGGGCAGGTCCGCCTGGATAAGTCGACGACCACACAGAAGACCGGCGTAAAGTAGTAGTGTTACACTTCTGCGTTTCGTCTGGTGAATGAGGTAGCCCACTTTGTATAAACGTGGCAAAAACGCTTACGGGGTGGCAATTTGTCAATGGGCGGCGGTACTTTAAAATTAGACCCGCCATGCGTTAATATACAGTGATGCAAACCAATAAGCTACTTTATTCCCTTCTTCACATAATCAAACTTTCCTAAGGTTGATACTATAACTGGAACTATCAACAAGAATCCAAACTGCTGACTAGTCAGTAGATTTAAGTTTTTCCTTCTGCCTTCCTTTCAGGTGTTCGGAAAAATAGCGATAGATGACGACACTCCTATAACGCGAAACAACCACTTCCAAACGTTTCCTCAGGCTATCCTAGTTTTATTTCGCTCTGCTACCGGTAAGGATGATAATATATATTATGTACAAATATTTTTTTGGAGCAGCTCAGCACAGGATTATATTTAAGTTTAGCATTCAGAAGACATGACACCGGACCAACATCGCTTGCTACATAGTCCCCAACCTAAACGACATTGAACTTTCAAGTGATTTCAGAATGGTTTTACAAAACTATAGTTATCAGGGAAAGTATTATCACACAGGGACGTGATAGATTATATTATTATTCGGCGGCACTTTATAGTTCCAACAAAACAATTAATGGTCGATAACTATGAATCGCGCTGCTAATGTCCGAATTTGTTAATCGCCAGTATTCTCGGTTCGATTGCAGGTGAGGCTTGGCAGGACATAATGATGGGCGTCTCGCCCGAGCCGGAGGTGAAATGCGACAAAAACTACGACGAAGAAGGGGAAGACAGCGGTGGCACTTGCGGCAGTGTCCTCGCCTTTCCATACTTCATATCATTCTACGTTCTCTGTTCCTTTCTGGTGAGCGTCAGTATTAAAAACGTCATCGAGAAATATTTGATTTGGATTGGAAAAAGAGTAATGCATCTCTTACTTATCCCGATTGCTTGGAATCAGCGTATTAAGTTCATCTGCTTTTTAAGCGATAACTTAGCAAGATAATGGTTGTCCTGATGTTAAGTGCTTATCACCGCCCATGTGTGCATTGTCAACCTTTAGTGCTAAAAGTGCATCCCGATAACCTCACTCACCAAACGAAACAGTTACAAAGTATTATTCCACTCAATTCTCATCTTCTGTGGACAAACCTATACGTTCGCAACAGCAGAACCAGTTGCGTGACCATACCACATTATTATTATTATTATTATTATTATATATACTTTATTGTACACCACAAAAAGTTTTATACAGTTCATATAAAATAAATCTTAAAAGCTAGGTACAATAAGGCGGTCTTATCGCTAAAGAGCTATCTCTTCCGGACAACCTTAGGACAAGGAAAATAAACTTATGAATAATAGGGAGGTGGTGTGCTTAATAAACTTGCTTAATAATAATAGTAATAATTAGTTTTTGAACAGCATCAAACATGTCATTCAAAAACTACTGTTAAGCTTCGTCGTTATAATTTTAAATGTGGGACTGTTTTTGCTGAAACTAAATGCATTCTGCAATCTATAAATTTAAAAATAATACCTTGATGTAACTATATTTAATATGCAGGAATGTTGAAAACGCTTTTAAATTATACAAATATTTATATTAAAATTTTGAAATAGTATTGCATTTAATGTGATATAATGTCCCTATGTCACCGAAATTCAATATGATATATTCGAAATGTAAATAAATACAGGCGCATGCCGATGCGCCTTTGAACTTTGAAATTGCCAAAATTAATATTTTTATTTGAAGTTTCCATTTTCTTTTAGATCATCAATCTTTTCGTCGCCGTCATTATGGATAACTTTGACTATTTAACCAGAGACTGGTCAATATTGGGACCACACCACTTAGATGAGTTTATAAGGTAAATGTCAAATATATTTTAAAGTTCATCATTAACATCATAAATAACGATATATATATATAATTACGTACGTTTGTACGGTTAAGGTAATCAATGTCTCATATTTTTCCCAATGTATAACGACTATTCGAGATTTAGGAACTGGTTCTTCTCTGCCATTCCTGACCATTCGCCAGCAATGGGGCATACATACACTGTTTCTTTACTTTAAGCATTGTCATCAGAGCTGTCTCTGACTTACTACTGCTGATTAAAATGGTGTTAAGATTTTCGCGTAGTATTCTCATAGTAGAATACTGGCACACTTTCACTTACATATTCAGCTTGAAAGACGAATACTTGTTGCAGGTTATGGAGCGAATACGATCCCGATGCTAAGGGTCGAATCAAACATTTAGATGTAGTTACTTTGTTAAGAAAAATAAGCCCACCTCTAGGTAAGTCTCACCACCATCTCATCGGCATTTTAGGCCCAATACTTGCGCCACATTAATCTCACAAGAGCCGTGAAAATGGCGGAATTGGGTACTCTATGTTAAAGAGACGTTAACGCGAAACACGAATATTTTTATTTAAACATGAAAATTGCGAAAAACTTCACTCACCCCAATGTATCGATTACGTATACTATTATCACATAAGTTTTTGTATGTAATAACAAACGTTTAGAAAATAATTGCATTTTCTACCAATTTTATGCCCTTTTATTGATGCCCCTACCAGGAATTTCCCAAATCACGTTTTCACGTATATTTATTAGCATAAAAGTATATTATTTGTTCAGAAACTCCAGAGAGTAATTTATTAAAATATTACAATTCATCAACATCATCATCGGTTGAGTCTACTGCTGAACATAAGCCGCCCCACAGACTACTGTGGGCCTATGTTCCGCCCTATAGCCCTATAACCGCCGCCCATGGAAATTTGCAACACCCGTAGGGTGGCAAATGCGTCGCCATGCGTGGGTCCCGGCTACCTTAGAGTGGCAAATGCGTCACGACCTTTAAATAAAGTGGGCCCCGGCTACCTCACTCACCAGACGAAACGCGAACGTGTAACACTTCTACTTTACGCCGCTCTTCTGTGAGGTCGTGGTACTCACCCGGACGGACCTGCCCACTCGTGCAACAGCCGAAGCTGTCGTGTGGCCCTACCACAGGTAAGTGTGGAGTATTCACGTGGATTGTATTAATGCCGTCTCCACAGACGGGATGGTAAAGCTAGTTCGCATTTAGAAAGATGACGATGACCAGGTTTCGGCAAGCTGTGCCCGCACCGGGTGGCCTGCAAGCGGCTCGTGTCCATGAACATGCCACTCAACTCCGACGGCACTGTCCTCTTCAACGCAACCCTGTTCGCCGTCGTGCGCACCTCGCTGAAGATCAAAACGGAAGGCAAGTTAATTAGCATTTTCCTGTTTTAAAAACACTGCCCTCACTATAGTATAAGGGCATTTTACAAACATAAAATTCACGTGGACAAACACCCAGATTTGAATCAGTTATGTTGGTGACACAAATGGTTGTCCCTTGTGTGAGTCCACGACCCGCGGAAGTCAATAAATTGACAAGTGCACCGTGGAGTCATTTTTGTACAACTTTTTTATACAGGAGGTTAAAAGTCGTACGGAAGTATAATCGTTTATTTAAATAAAACAAATAAAAACAAACTTAATTTTTCAAAAAAATTGCCATTCTATTCCTTAAAAAACAGAACTTGTTGACAATGCGGTAGTCATTCATAAATGCGTCGTATACTTTTGAAACGAACTTGTGTGCGTGTTGAAACGAACTTGTTATGAATGATCACGCGTAAAATAAATGAGTTACCCATAAATCATGCACATTTTGAGATAAGTTCAAATGAATGTATTTAATTAATTACGAGTGATTTTAAATATTTATCATTTTTTATATTACATTATTTGTCTAGAATTTAATAAAAAAAATTGGATACACTTAGCCTCCCTATATGCGAAAGATTGGCAAACGAGCAGGCATTTCACCTGATGTTTAATTATTAGCGCAACCATCGACATAAAAGACGTGAAAGAATCGCAGATGAATCGGCAACCTTTAAAAAATTGAGCCTAGGTTACCTGTCACCAGACGAAACGTAAAATGCAATACTTCCACCAAACACCGGTCTTCTATGAGACCGTGATACTTCCCCGGACGAGCCTGCCCAGTCGTGCAGCAGAAGCTACTACGTGGCCCTACCACAGCCTATGTTCATTGTGGTTCAGCCAGGCGGCAGACTGCGTTTTGATGCGAGTAACCTTACAAAGGATGTTAAGGCAACTACTGGCGCAGATGATCTAAGACGGGCAAATTTACTTCGAGATTAGCATACATTGTGTATGCTAATCTATAACTACAGTCACTAAGCTGTTACGGTATCAATATCAGAATAACATCGTGATGAAATTTCACCTTGTTTCATAAATTTTATTCAATCGGCAATGAGAACTTGTTAGTTCTGTGTATGCTTTTTCCACCATTCCTCACATGAAAATTGTTCCACAGGCAATATAGACGACTGCAACACGGAACTAAGGGCGGTTATAAAGAAAATCTGGAAGAGAACATCACCGAAGTTGCTGGATCAAGTTGTGCCACCGCCAGGTGATCCCAACGAGATTACCGTCGGAAAGTTCTACGCCACCTTCCTAATCCAGGACTATTTCAGAAGGTAGCTTTATACTTGTCCAAGAATATATCGAAACTTAGTTTATTCGAGCTGAATCTTTTACCAAATCAGAATGTAATGGTCAGTTTATTATTACAAAAGTCGAAGCAATTTGCCATTTGGCTTAGTAAACAATTCAATACAGCTATAGAAATTTCTCAAATAAATATACATTGCGACTGATGAATGTTAATTACATCTTATATTTTATTTATAAGTAGGGGAAGTAGATATAGAATATATTGTCACCATTAAGGACTTCTTCCAGTTATTGGATAACGACCTTTAATGGAACATAACAACATGTGTCATCTAGTCGCTCTGATTCTACTATGCTTTCAAAACTCCTGTTTTTTCTACACAACAGTATAAAAACGCTTAATTACAAAATATCTAAGCTAACTTAGTGGCTAATGAAGCTTACTCACAGTCACTATAATTAAGAAAGTAGAATTAAGAAACAATAATACAAAATACATCATAGTCATCAGTTCTTTACGTTCTTGTTGGTATGGAATTTCGAAATAATAATGTTGTAAAGGTATCAATGTCTCTAAATTGTAAAATTTATTCAGTCTATAATGACGTTATATTTAACGTCTACCTTTAGTTCCATTTTTTTCTTTTTGACTGATCTATTTATTTTTTTCCATAGGAATCACGCGTAAGTAAACCAATAAAGAAACGTATGTGTATAGGAGAGTATGTCCCCACATAGTTTTTAAAAACTCAAAGCAGCCCATATATAGATTCCAACTCAAAATAGCAGACACTATAGCAGCAATACAATCGTTAGGAGTGTTTTTTGCTATTTCAGTTTTAGATGTTTTCAGTTTGCCCCTGCATGATCCTAAGTCTACAGTATAAATATTAATTTTCTTTTACTTTAAAATGATTTCTTACGACCCTTATCTGATCACGAACTACTTACAGAATTCAGCATGAAGAATTAGATTATACGTTTGATTTTTCTTTGTTTTATCCTTTTTTTAAATAATTACATACACTTGTTTGCGTTTTCCCCTTTTTAATTTAGATTTAGAGAATTTGCCGCCAAGGAAAATGTTTTGTGCGACCCCATCATATTAAACTCGATTTCCAAATTATACTTAAAAATTTAGCAGTTTAGCGGAGGGATGATGGGAATTAACCATTTTTAAAATGTTGATATCGTTACCATGTAACGTGTATAAGTTTATTTCTAGAATATTAGATGCCTCCAAATTAGTTAATAAATGCGATTGTGCTTTCAAAGGAAACGAAGTAAGTATACAGAAGATAAAATATTAAACGAACTAGCGTACGAGTTGATGTTCTAAGTGACGCCCACTGCCTTGTTCACTGTCACTACTAAATAAGGCCAATCAGATGCAATGAACAAATATTCACAACAGGGTTTATATTATTTTATTTAGTACCTAAAATAATTTTCCTACAAAACTAAAGGTTCAAATCAAAAATCTAAGTATTAATCAAGACAGAATTTATGAAAATATAGACGTGAGTGAATCATCAGTTTCGATTACGTCAATCGATCATTTGATAGCACATTCGAATGACAAGATAGACGTTGCCAAATCTGGTACTGTTGATCACAAGGTTCAAAAAGAGGAAGGAGCAGGAGATGAGACAGAGCGACGAGCAGAACCACCAAATGACGCTGCAGGCTGGACTGCGCACACTCCACGAAGCCGGTCCGGAGCTGAAGCGAGCCATCTCTGGAAACCTGGATGACATCAACGCTGATACGGATATCCCTATGCACAGGGTAAGAAAATCTGCTAAATACAAACTTTAAAACCGGTAGAGTACAAAGTATACCCAATCCATCAAGCTTTAATTATACATGGTATCCCTATACCGTCCTCATTTTATTCTTTCACGAACTGGCTTATAGAAAGTGTCATATGACATTCAGCGCGTATATAATAATAAAATAACAGGATATAAAACATTACGCACGTCCGCTGAGGATATGCTGCAGTAGAGAGCCTAAATACCATTTAGCTTTAACCTTATATTACAACTTATTTTTGTAAACAGAAACTTGCTACAATTGGCTAAGTTGTTATTATTACTACGAACTTGCTCAATTAAATACTGAGTATGTTTTTAAAACAGAGGAACCACTCACTGTTCGGAGGCGTCTGGTCAAGTATACGACGGCACGGACCGAACAAACACTTTAATAAACATCGGAAACACGGCGAGACCCCCGCAGGTTTGTGTACAGATAATAAATACGTGTAATGTGAATGAGATGTAATCTGCCAAGTAATCAATAAATTCTTGTCGACAGAAGGAGTTGGCAATCACTTGAGTTCGATGATGCAGAAGGAGTATGGAGTGGGACCACTGCCACTTGCACCAAATTTGTAAGTAATTTGTAGTGCTATTGAGTTACATTTTTCGCTACCCTGCCTACCTTTAGCTTTATATTAATTATTTCGAACATCATGTGACTTAAAATTATTTGAAGTTTATGTGATGACATAAATGGAAAAGTTTTACTTAAGTTCGTAAAATTAAAATTGATCCAAAACTCTTTGTGGTGCATGTATTGTGTCTGTATTAAACTATAAATAAATTTTAAAATATTTATATATAGCTGTATAAATACAAAAATATGGATTCGTCTACAGGGCTAACGGTCAAACTAAAGAACAGATACCCCTGCGTCCGCTGATACTAAACGGGGAATCGGAGAAAATCTACCAGGTGCTAGAGTAAGTATCAACGCTCCACTCGTCCTCATAACCGTTTCATCCGTTACCGTTTAATATCGTTGTCAATTAACCGGCGACTACAAACGCGTATGCTTGCATTGCAGAAGAACTACGAACGATCTAAAGAACGCTATTCACGAAGGTAGCTAAGCGTGTGACTTTGATACCCGTGTGCCCCCCGCCCGTAGTGTTGAGTCATCGCTCACCTCACCCTACTACCAACTAACACGTGTGTAACGTTCCCCCCCGCCGCGTGAACCAGCAACCAGAGATCGAACTACCCGGAGATGCTCGGCCAGATCGGGCTCGCGTTCGGCTGCGTCAACTACCTGTCGGCGGCGGAGGGGGGCGCGCGCGCGTCGCGGCAGCGGGTGCGGCCCGAGCCGGCGCCGGCCGCCGCGGCCGCCGAGCCGCCGGAGGGCATCCGGCCGAAGATCTCGCCGCTGCTGGCGGCCGAGTGCGCGCCCGCCGCGGAGGCGCGCGCCATGACGCTGTACGGCTACAACGCGGCGGCGCGGCTGCCGTTCGCGTTCTCGCACGCGCGCGAGCGGGCGCGCGGGCGGCGCGGCCGGCGCGCAGGTCGGATGGTGCGCAGCGCCTCCTCGGGCGCGGCCACGCATGCGCCGCCCGCCCGCAATGTAGAGCGCCCGTCGCCAGGTCCGCACGGAGCCCCGCCGCCCGCCGCACGCCCTCTTTTCCTCTTCACTTATCTCCTCCTGTCGTCCTCTCGCCCCTCCCTATCGTGCCGTTGGCTCGAAATTTGCGACTTCTGGCCGAGTACCGCTGGTTCCCACACTCTCGCGTCCCTCCCTATCGTGGCCTGTTTACTCAAAATTTGCGACTTTAATATGTCTCTATTCCTCTTCACTTGTCTCTTTCCGGATTCAAGAAGTTCCCGCCGGTTACGGCCGGTTTCCGCACCCCATCGAGTCCCTATCAGTGTCTCGTTTACACAAAATTTGTGACCTTTATATGTCTATTCTATTCCCGCATTCTGTATTCGTGTCTCGTTTTCGTGTGTATTTTTCTATACCAGTTCTCTTTCTTGACTTTGTCGTCCATACAGGTCTTCTCACACAAGCTGTGATATCTATTCGACTTTGTGACTTCTCAACCGTCTTCAGTATCTTTCTCTCTCTTTTTTTCTCTCCCCCCATTTTCTTCCTATAAATGTCCATATTTTTTGTTCCATAAAGTACTTAAAAGAAAAACCATATCATATATTACTTTATTTTCAAAATAATTTTTAGTCAACTCAAAATGTAAATGAACTTGTTTTTATTGCATTAAAGTTTTTTTTCAAGTACCTGCAAAAATCAAACTTTGTCCGGACAGGAGTTTTCCTGAAAACTCCTGATTATAAATAAAGTCTAGAATCATCACACTCTGCAGTCGCATATACATTCTTACTATTCTTTTAAAGAAATAGTATGCTATAGAAAGAACAGCGGCCATTTCCGCATGCAAATGCAGAGCAAGAGTAATGGAAGACCATGTACTGGTTAGCAGGAAAATGGTTATTTTATATTCGAGGTATACTTCTCTATTGCATATGGAGAAGTCTACGATTAAGTTACTAATTATAATCTACCAAATGTGTAATGTTCCAGGTTGTTGAGATCCCAATTTCAATCCCCAACTCCAAACGTAAGAAACATTCCAAAGAGGGAAACTTCCTTAACCGTAAACCGAAACGATCACTTTTACAGAATTCTCCAAGCTTTATATGCAGTGACACTATAATTATTATTATTTTGAGTTATTTTTTACTTTCACAACGGTCACCACAGGGCTCTATTTTTTACGGCCACAATGCTTTACATAACTCATTAGATCACCGTGGCATATAAAAATTCCACACAATAGCATTAATTAAATAACTAATAGGACTAACCAACATAACTAACTGTTAGTCACCAAAAACGTGCATGTAGACTGTTTCGACTAAACAGTCAATAGGCAAATAGCGATGCAATTAGCATAGAATAGAAAGCTTTTTAGAAAGTTAAAGGAAATTGTGATTCCGATGTGCTTTAAGTTGCGTGAAACAGAGATTGAAAACGGAAGGAATGCACGCGGACATAAATCGATCTAACCGTTGTCCCATCTCGCTTTAGAAAGTTATTAAACATGAGCTTCAAAGCTTTTATTGTTAGTTGATAGAGATTGCACACGTAAAAAAATCTTGACTGGTAGTTGTCATTATTCATCGTAATCATTGGGCAAAATAATAAGTGCTTCTAAGAAATCTGGTAGCTATTAGTTTTATGATTATACATTAAGTCTTAGAATGTAGCAGTATCAAAAACGAATGCTATAAATATAGTTACCGTTGAACCAAACAATGTAAATTATTTACTTTTCAATATAAAAGTCCTTCAACTCCTGATAGTCTAAAATTATAGTCAATTTGTAATTTAATGAGCATAATCTTAGCGAAAGTTCTACTGTATACCTACAATAAGAACAAATTAAGTAGAACTAAATACGCGCTGTGAACCCTTGAAGTCTAATGTGTCTTCTTGAAAATCTGTCTCTCTTTACCCGTTACCGATAAAGACACAAGAATCTGTCTAATATTTACTAGGGCGTCCTTTACGAATATCCTTTAAATGACCTTCTTGTTTAGCCCGTTTAGTTCGGAACGAGTATAGAATATTTCAGTCTGGTTAAAGGTTGTTTATTAAAATGAAATCAAAAGTTTGATGGCACTAGCCACGTATCAACGTGTAGCACGCTAGAAGACGTTAGAGCTTGTCTTCTAGGGTGAAAAGCTTGAAATGGTTGGGTAGTGTAGCTACTGTATCGGGCTAACAATGCAGGCGGTGACAATTGCGTGCGCGGCGTGGTCTCCTTGCCGGGCAGCCCGCGGGGCAACAGCGGCCCGGTGCCGGTCGTCGGGTCAGCTGAGAGCCTCGTCACGAGGGTAAGTGTAACAGCCCTTTCCGCAGTTCCTTAATCAGTTGCAGCGTTAATAATCCACTACTATCGCTGCCGCCGGCGGTCTTTCCGAACCGTTACGACCTGGCCACCTTCAAGAAGAGAGCGTACTCTTTCCTAAAAGGCCGGCAACGCATTTGTAAGCCCTCGGGTGTTGCAGATGTCCATGGGCGGCGGTAATCACTTACCATCAGGTTCACCCAGGTTCCTGCTCGTAAATCTTCCTGTTCATCGTTCCTGCATCGTTCCATCGTTCCTGCTCCTGGATCTCGAAAATATAAAATTTCATATTTTTTAAACAAAAAATGTACTTTACGTAACACTATGTGATACTTTCTTTCGTATAGTCACTTTAGTTTATTAATGTCAAATTAATGTCACTATTCTTGAATGGTGGATGTGGCTCATGAGATCGCTCTCAAACCAAAAAGACACCTAAGGACTGATAGGAAAACTGTTTATTTCAACTTAAACATTTTGAACTTATTTTTGGACCAAACTTAATCATTATTGAATTTATATAAAATACAGGAGTTATGTCAGACAGCTATACATGTTACTTATACAAACGATTTTTACGGAATCAATCAAATATAACAATTCAGTCTGAACAAATAAAATTAACATTCCAAATTTAAAGTAATTCTAGCATAATACATAAATCAAATAGTATAGAGAGTATATCAAAAGAGTATGTATAATCTGAGATTACCAATCAATACACCGCCTTAATCTCAGATGTACACCAGACAAGTAAAGAAAACTCAAAAAATGTAGAAGCATAAAACAAAAATAACACTCCCAACAAAAACCACAAAACTTAATAACAAACCACAAAAATACAAGAAAAACAATACATTATAAGGAAGAGATCAAAAATTCGGTAAAAAGTTTCTCTGAAAAATTCCGTTTTGAATTCCGATTCTTTCCCTTACTACATATACTTATTAATACCCCCTTACATTAGCACTACCTACACTAAAAGGTTTAGAATTAAAATACTTAAATTTCTTAATAACGTCTATCAAGACAATAACACCAATGTGCCACACTAAAGCAGCTTGTTTTAGATCGTAAAGACTTCTTCAGGCCACAAATCTTCCCCTTCAGCCTCTTTTTCAACAACCAACTCCCACGCGCCATTTCTCTCCAAAGAAAAACCTCTCCTCCTCCACAGCCATCAACCATTGCTCCGTCACACCGGAGCCAACCGCCTCCCAAAACGTAAAAGTGCACACAGCCAAAAAATCCACAACAATCCTTATACCTCTCAGGTAAAGACCTATTTATCGGTGGATTCCTCCCTAGACCCACAAACTCCGCAACAACCTCCGTCTTCCCGTCCATAAAGACCTATTTCTCGGTGCATCCCTCCCTGGACTCACACCCTCCGCAACAACCTCCGTCTCCTCTTCACAAACACCTATTTCTCGGTGGATCCCTCCCTGGACTCACACCCTCCGCAACAACCTCCGTCTCCTCTTCACAAAAACCTATTTCTCGGTGGATCCCTCTCTGGACCAACACCCTCCGCAACAACCTCCATCTCCTCTTCATAAAAACCTACTTCTCGGTGGATCCCTCCTTGGACTCACACCCTCCGCAATAACCTCCTCCTGTCTATCTCCACTCGCATCCAGAAAAAACATCAAAATCTCCTTTATTCTCTAAAACTTCTTCATCCTAATTATGAACAAAATTCACACTCCTCACATCTTCAACTGTTTCCTCACAAACTACTTCATTTGTTTCTGCACTCTCCTCATTCCCAACAACGTCAATTGTTTTTTTTTTTCAATTGTTCCCTTTTGAATTCTTTATATAAATATATCTTCACTTGTGGTAATAAATCTTCACTTTTGGTCGCAGTCTGCTCGTTATTTTTCAAAATGTTTTCAAAATCCGCTACAGATATTTTCAAAATCCTCTTTTGTTTCCAGTCTTGAATGGTAGTATCTTTTTCTAACAATGGTTTGATGGGCTTGTCCATCTTTGAAAATTTCTTTGCAGTTGTCACTTTTGCTCAAAACTGGAAAATCACCAAAAATATAGATATTGCTGGGCCCATAACCTCTTGAATGGTGGATGTGGCTAATGGGATCATTTTCAAACCGAAAAGACACTTAAGGAGTGATAGGAAAACTGTTTATTTCAACTTAAACATTTTGAACTTATTTTTGGACCAAACGTAATCATTACGGAATTTATATAAAATACAAGAGTTAGGTTTGATAGATGGACATGTTACTCAAAGAGAATGTAATCACTACGTTTACGTTTACGTTTGATGTTACTTCTTTAAGCAATTTTTACGGAATCAATCAAACAAGACACAATTCACTCTGAACAAATAAAACTAACATTCCAAATTTAATTTAAAGTAATTCAACATAATACATAAACCAAACAGGTCAGAGTTGACATCAAAAGAGTATGTATAATCTGAGATTACCAATCAACAACTATCCCACGCATCATCGTATATTTAATAAACTGTAATACCTATTTCTAATTTTCGCCACAGACAATGAAAGTCCATGGGCCACCGTTGCCCATGATATTCAAAATACAGATTTTACCACTAAATGCTCCACTGCTGCATTATTTGCTAGACAATCAAGATCCCTTAGGCTAAAAACTCCTCAATATACCTCATGGCTACTTCTGTGACTTGATGACGTATATACTAAGAAGGAACATCAGAAAAAGATATCTAAAGAAATTTATATCAGTTTCAATTAACTGTAAGCAGGTGTTAGCTGAGCAGGGCCTCGGCGCGTACTGTGACCCGGAATTTGTGAGGAACACGTCAAGAGAGATGCAAGAGGCACTGGAAATGACCCAGGAGCAAATGGACAGGTAATACTAATTTCTGTATATAGAAGCCTTTCTCGTTTAAAAAAGGAAAAAGAATAAACTTGTCACTAATCTTTAGCCTAGTCTGTATCCTAATACTAAGTTGTAAGTGGGAAAATCAAATAATTAAATTAAGGGATAGAAAGTATTATTTGAAAGTATTGCCATTGCTGCATCCGCGTGTTATATACAGATTGAAAGAAACAGTTATTGAAACATCGACTCAATTTCCGCAGAGCCGCACATCAGTTAATGATACAAGAGAGAAATTTAAAGCAAGCGCACAACCAACAATCACAAGTTGTAAGTAGTCATAGTTGTTTGTTAAATGCATTTCTATTTTAAAAATATGTAATCTTTGGAAAGAATATCATTACAAACTATAATATATTTTAAAATTTAAAATAAGTTAACATTAGTGTCCAATTTCCTATGCAAGCCTAAACTCGTAACTTTATTTTTAATATTTGAAATACCTTTAGCCGTGATAGTTCATGGTCCCGGTGCTGTATTTTAATTCAATATTCTCGAGCAACCCGAATTATAATCGCGGTGCCAGCAGCTCAAAATTAATAATTTCATTTATTAATTTTGAGGGCTGAGCTATCACGGTGAAGAAACACATTGTGAGAAAACCTGCATATTTACAAATTATTATTATTAATAAGCACGGTGAAATTTACGCTAATACACTACGCCTGATACAGAGGCGGCCTTTAACCAGCACTGGGACATTTATAGGCTGTTACTTATTTGAAACGCCGACCATCAACTCCTGCTGTTTCTAATCGTTACCTATCCTTTTTCAATCATGAACTTAAAACTGTACATTAGCCTCACCCCCTTACCTACCTGTAACAATACTAACTCGCCTTAACATTACTTATTAATGAATGTATAGGGTAATAATTGGGCTGTTATAGGGCGACATCATAGCTCGCCAGTACCATCCCTTCCACCAGCCCGCCACGATGCCGCCGCCGCCCTTCAAGCGGTTATAGCATCGACCGACACGCATAGCGCCACGCAAAATGGCGGCGGCGCGAAACCGCACACTGACCAAGATGGCTGCCGCCAAGATGGCGTCGCCAGTCGCGGGAAACGCGTTAGTGTGGGCTCCATCTGTCAGTCGCAACGTTGCAACATCGATGCGAGGTGTCACGGGCACCACAGAAAGAAGCGCAAACGCAAACCAGTGCTCGTTTAAAGTGAAAACAAAACAAATCGTTCAAATTCTACACTTCACATTCGTCTGACACGTTTCGAATGATCGTCGATGCTCAAGTTTTATTTTTTATTTTCTATATTGTATAACCCTAGCCTTTTTGAGAACTTAATAAAAGAAAGTATTGACCAGACAACAAGACTATGCAGTGTAATTTATTAACAATGTATTTCTATTGAGTACCCAACTGTGAGTTGCACAGTAAAAAGTGTGATTTCTAGTGCCATAGTTATTAAAATAATAATAGAGTAGCCAATTGGAATTGGTAAATGACAGAAAATTGTTCTTATTGCTATAAACCGAGCACCCTCAATATATTTTCTATTTCACAGAAGCTACATATTGAGCCTTAAAGAATTTACTATTTTAAATAATTTCGTTAAATTCTTTATTATTTACAGATCGAAGAAAAAGTTGCTATGGAACAAAGATATTATACTGTTTTTTTTTTCTAAATAACCAAGTATACAACGGTAAAACATAGTTAAATTTTATTATACAAATAGAAATGGCATAGGGAAAATAATTTCAACATTAGAGAATGCCCAGTCTACTCTAGCACCGAATTTTACACTTGTATCTATCAAATTGGCAATGTGGTCCTAAATGTTCCGGAAGACAATATAATATTTAAAGACTATCCAATTTATAACCTTTGATAAGCAAAATTCTAATAAGGGTGGAGAAAATTTAGAAGAAATAGAAGTAGTATGTCAAAAACCAGTAACTGACTAGTATTACACCACGTTTACATTTATATCTAGTAACCATAAATTCTCCATAAAATCAAATTTTGTGAAATGTTCTGATTAAAATGTTTGTTTCAAAGCATACACTCATAAGAAAGAACTTTACGATTATACATTTATTCGTTTCATTTTAATATATCGTCATAGTCTCTGTTCTTTATTATTTAGAGAGTTCAAGCATCCATCTAAAAATTAACATTTTTTTTGCTAATTACCAAAAAATACCTTTATATTGAATAAAATCTACAATTTCGATCTTTTTATTGGTTCTCACAATGTCTATTTCGCTTCACCCTTATTTACTTAAGTAAAAATAAATCAACAATTCCCGTATAATTCCCCACTTATAATATTCCTTTTTATTCAGACTACACATTTATTCAGGATATACATTTATAAATTCGCAGATTAAAACTATTTTGGCTGAAGAGGAAATAAAAGCTTTGTATTGTATTTTGAACGATTGAATCACGGACAAATTTTCTAGTTAAAACTTTCTAAAGTTTGCAACATGCCAAATAGTAGGTATTATTAATACATCATAGCTGACCACTGAACATTTTATTACAATTTAAAAAAATGTAAAATTTTTTACTATAAAAAGGGAAAGAACAAAAAAAGTAAGCGTGCTGGCAAATAACTATGTAAGTAATGGTATATGTAATTTGTAGATTTGATTAAATATTCTAAATTTTTACACCCGTAATTTTTCATTGTTGCAAATTTTACGTCTTATCTGATAAGGAATTCCCTAGTAAGTGCCCTTTTAAAGTTCGATATATGGAGTAGTTTAGTTATCTGTGACTCCTAGTCCATTGTACCGCGAACCACATTCCTTTAGGATTAAGTAAAATGTAACCAACGTGACTCTTTTATATTTTTCAATATATGAAATATGATATAATAATACAAATTTTTTCGACGAGGCGTTTAATGTCTTACAGATAATAGGTAATGATGTGAATACACCAAAGTGTTACTTTTCTTTACAGGAATGTTGTGAAAAAAGTTTTCTATACAATGCTTAAATAAAATTATTTTACCGTAACTCGGTTTCAAAATAATTTTAATAGAGAAATAAGTAGTTAGTTCCCATACACTTAACAGTGCCAACATATTGTTTATATTTACTTTAATTTTTCTTATTATATCAGCTGTTTTACGGCCTCTTTAATGTTCAGCCAGTATTTTTAAAATTGAACAAATAATTTAATTCTCTCATAGATAATGTTTATTAAGTGTTTAAAAATTATAATAGTTATGTTTCGTTGTTGTATGATCCTTTATACTATGTAGATAGAAATCTAATATTCATGAAAATGAAATAAATGACCCTATTATTATAGGCTTTATGAGAATCTAATTAATTTCTTTGTTTAATAAATTGTGTTCTGTATAATAAAATCGGTTTCGTTGAATTATACATAAAATCTTTATTAAACAAAGAAAGTTTCCTTGTGTAAATAATGTAAAAACTTACGAACTCGTATACCTACTTCAAATTTTGTCTTTCTAAGTAAATTTTATATTCTAGCGCGATGGCTAGTGTGTTGGGACATTTCATTGTATATTTTGTAAATACTAAAGAAAACCTAAAAGTAAAAAATATATTTATTCCGTCAATCGTATTTAATTGATCTGATGATTATTTATTACCTATTTATTGTTTGAAAGGAACATTGTAAAATTGTTTTCATATAATTAAAAAAATGTGAAACGAAATATCCAAGGTTTTATTTCTAATATATGAATATCGATAGGAGCAAGGAGACCCGGCTTCCATATATTATGGACGTCTCCCATTGGCGGGAAATTAAGTATACTTTATAAGCCTTTCATGTATATGACCAAAAGACTAACAAAATTGGTCATCATCATCATTTCAACCTTTTGCAGTCCACTGCTGAACATCGGCCTCCTCCACAGACTGCCACGAAGCACGATCCTGAGCCACCTGCATCCATCGACTTCCCGCACACTTGCACTGGTCGTCACTTCATCTAGTGGGGGGTCGTCCTACACTGCGATGGAAAGTTCGAGGCTGCCACTCGAGAACCTTTTTTCCCCTAGGCGAATTTCCTCGTTACGGATTTGGTCACTCAAAGAAACACAGCATAGCTCTCTCCATAGCTCGTTGTGTGACTCTGAGCTTCTCTAAAAGACCAGCTTTTAAAGAACACGTCTCAGTGTCATATGTATCACACCCGGTGTGTTCGGTAGGCTGGAAGTCAGATTTGATGACATTCGAGACGTTTAGTTATATAAATAGGCTTAGGAGCGAAATGAGTCTTTAATTGTTCAACAGGGTCTTTAATTGTTCTATCTACCTTTTTGAAGAAAAGCACCGATCGCCGATTTTTTGTATTTTAGAAATATATTCTTTTTATTTATTTATTTAATCTTTATTGCCTTCAGTAAAACAAGGTAACAAAGTGCGAAGAGAATGCCCTAATGCATTCTCTATCGGTCAACCCAGGATGTCGTGAGAGTTTATGGTAGGTGCAGCAAAAGATGTCAGAATTATAAAATTTTAAATAAAGAGAATAAATATGAAAATAACAATATAAAATATATATTACATTTATTATAATTGCATACAAATAGCATATAAAATTATATGTATGTATGTTTGAATATATATATATTATATACAGCATGTCGTTACCATCGCGACAATAAATGAACACACGTCTAACGCTACTTGCCAATAATCATAAAAAAATATTAACGTTAAACAAAATCCACAATAAAAAAAATATTTTTCAAACAAACTAATTAAGTAAAAAAAGAAACAAAATTTGTAACACCTATACATCGTATTACAAGCCTCTCCTTCTAACAGTATGTTTTGTCTCTTTTAAATTCATTCAACCCATTCATATGCTTTGTGCCCTTTACAAATGAACTTTACGTTACGCTTTATACGCTCATATATATATATATTTTTTTTATAAATTATTTAAGCATATACATAAAGCATTTAAGTATAAAATTAGCAGGAGCCAGGGCACTTGCAAGTGCAGAGCAAAAGTTATTTCCACACTTCCTTGTTATCAATGTATTCCTCGACATTATAATAGGCCCTTTCCAATAAGGTGGCTTTTACAAAATGTTTGAAATTATTTTCACTTAATTGTTTGTGGATGTCACCCATTCTATTATACAGGATGATTTTTAGACGAAGTACATAATTTGACAAATGTTAATTGAACATTCCATTATTCAAATAAAATATTAATATTTTATTTTGACAAGAAATAACTAGAAATATATCAATTCAAAAGATTTCTACAAAGATACTGGTTGATAATGGACTAAATAATTTTAAGAAGCTTGTGTTCCTTCAATCCTGGACTGTAAAAGGATGCTGGTGAAAAGGAAAGGGCGTTCATTACATAAATTGCACGCCTACCTTAGTAACTGCAAGGCGCCTTCTCCGTAGCTACTTCAGGATTCAACTCCAGATGCAGATGTTGTCGAGGTGGCGGTCGAATTTGCGGTTGTCCTTTCGCTTTAGTGCGCACAAAGCTTCCCTATCACCTTTAATATATTTTATAAGATCGCGGCGCGGTAGTTAGTATTCTATTACTTTTTGTGCCGATTGCTCTCGGCGCATTATATATGTAATACGTAGGCGTGCGGGTGAGGGGGGGTAAGAACGCCCGAGAAGGATTTAAGAGTTTAGAGGGTAAATGTGGATTTTTTTGAGAAACGGCGCTAACATCCCCCCGGCCCTAAAGGGTTGCCTTTAAGGAATTATATTAATATAAAATATAAAATATAATACATTTACGTATCCGCTGCGTGTTAGTATATGATAAAGCTATATTAAAAATATATGAAATTATTTGTATGAGAATTAATAATACGAAAATACAATATATATATACCTACTATAACTATGTACTTAGCCTAAGCATCAAGCCGGCTATTGATTTGGTAGTGGGCACAAGCGCACCACTGGACGTATAAAGCTGCCTTTGGCAGTTTTTATAGTAACGACTCGTGCTTTTCCGTCTTTAGA